GGAGGACGTCAGAGAGGGAGACAATGCCCCGCGGGTACCGGTTCTCGTCTACCAGAACCAGGCGATGGACCTGTGGGTGCAGGCAGAGCATCACAGGCAGGCTGGGCAGCTGGCAAGTGTGGCTGGTGCCGGCACAAGGCACCCCAGCCACTCACCTGCTCCTTGGCAAAGCGGTCAATGATGTCCTCCATGTGTTCATGGGGGTAGCAGGTGATGACCCCCTCCAGGCAGATACTGCGCTGCCGCAGTGCCTCTCGCACACTGATGTCCAGGTTGTTGTAGGTCTTCTGAGCTGCCAGGTGCTGTGGGAGGTGTGACCCCAATGTGTCCTCACACCCCGTTGTGCCAACGCAGAGGGGACACTGAGTGCTGGGGATGCACAGAGCAGATGTGCACTGGCATGTGCAGGACACTGCATTTGAGGTGGGTTTACACGGGCACAGATAAATGTGAACACCCCCTACCAGCGCATGCAAGGGGCCACATTTTTGTCCAGGTGTGCAAACACACAGGGTACTCACAATGACATCAAACCGGGAGTACAAGCCAACCACTTGTCCTGCAAAGAGAAATAGTGCAGTAGCTGGGGAGGGGGCCTTGGGGATCATTTGCCATGTTCCTTGCACACCCCAAGGGGCAGCCCAAGGGCCAGGAGAGGGCTTTTGGATGGGGATGGGGATGGAGCTGCTGACAGAGGGAAATGAGGGAGTCACTTTCCTCCTCCCCAGGTACCGGCATCATTGATGACGGGCAAGGCAGAGACACAGCGATCCACGAAGATCTCCAAGGCAGTGTAGATCGGGGCAGTCTCAGGCACGACAGCCAGGTCACGAAAGGTGCCAATGCGCAGCTCCTGCACTGTTTTTTTCAGGAAGCGTGGCTTGGGAAGGGTAGAGCCCTGCAATGGGTCAGGGCAGGGCTTGGCTGGCATCTACACACATTTTGACACCTTTGTTTGTGCCCCTAGACACCTGCCACGTGTGTGCACACAGCCCCAGCACTCACAAAGATGTGGAGAAACTTGAGGATGCGCTTGTGCGTCAGGATGTGCAGGACATTGCCCGAGACAGGCTCGATGACAGGCAAGCGGTGGATTTTATGCTTGATCAGGGAGTAGACAGCATCAAAGAGGCTGTGGGTGGTGGGGACATCATGGTGGGATAGGGCTGCAACACAGGCACACACACCCCCACCCCAAGGGGTGTACTCACCCCCAGTGGACAGGCTCTCACCTATTGCTTGGGGAGATGTAGACCAATGGCTTGAAGGAGCTCTGCAGGTACACCTCTGCCAAGGGAGAGAGGTGGAAGAGGGGGTCCTCCAGCCCTCTCATGCAGCCCCACAACCCCAGAGCTCACCTCCATGCCCTGCACAACATCCCCAGCCCAGCCACCCCTATCACCCATGATTTTTACCTCTCCATGTCTCAATCTTGTGCTCCTCCACCTCGTAGATTTGAACCTGAGGGCAGGGAAATGCTCTGTTCATGGAGGCTCCATGGGGGACTGAGGGCACTGTGAGACACTGCCCCCTTCCCCAGGCATCCCACCCCATCACCCTAAAAACAGGAATTACATTTTCAGTGCCAGGCAGAGGGGCAAGAAGCAGATGCTGCCCTGGCCCAGAATCATCCCCTGGTCACAGTCTAGTGATGAAGAGGAGACCAGGAGAGGTGGGGACAGCCCCTCCCTGGCCCATGTATGCCCCAATTCCCCATGCCCTCCCCACCGCACTCACCAGGGGTGAGCGGTAGTAACGGTGTAGGATGTTGATGAAGTCGGTGATGGTGAGCATCCCTGTGGAGACACGAGGGGCTGGCAGCACTGCCTGCACCCTAACTGCCAGGCCAGGGAGGGGGCCAGGCAGCACTGCTGGCACTCACCCACAAAGCTCTGTGTCTTGCTATCCCAGAGTGGGGCAGCGCGCACCCCATTGGCCACCAGTGCCACAAAGGCTTTCTTGATCTGCTGACAGAGTGGAAGGGGATCAGGGGGTCCCGAGCCTGCTCCTCCACTACCCATCCCCACTGATCCCCCGCTCTGCCACCTCCAGGGAGATGTCGAAGACGACAAGCTTGCAGCTGGTGGGGATGGCATCATAGCAGCAGTGGCTCCGTAAGAAGTGCATGTAGACCTCGGCGTCAGGGCTCTGAAACTCACTTTCTGGGCCCAGCCCCAGTATCTCATTTCCCAGTGTGAAGGTGACAGATCTCCTTTGCCTGTATTCTTCCTCCTCCCTGGAGCATAGGGCCTCCGGGAACTCTGCAGGAAAAGCCATCCCAGCCCCAGCCAGTGAGCTGAGATGCTGGGTCTCAGCAACTTCCTGCCTGGGGGGAGCAGGGGATGCTCCCAACAGAGTCTCCCTGTTTCCTACTCCACAGGGGCAGCACAACAGCACTGCAGTTCTCCAGCCTGGGGTGCACTTCAGCTGAGGAGTGGGGTATGGGCAGGGTGGGCAGAGGACTGATGTACTCATCACACGAGTAAGGCAGTTCCCCCCTCCTACACACCTAGTCTCTACCTGCTACCCACCTTCCTCCTCAGGGCAGGAAGCAGTATCCAGCAGCGCCACCTGAGAGGGCACACAGCAAGGAGGGGTCAGCAGGAGTCCAGCCTTTCCCCCACCCATGGATGCTGCTTGCATCCACCCGGCTACTCCGGCCCACCCAAGCCGGATAGAGAGGACTGTCCTATCAGGGTGGGGATGTGGGCGGGGCCTAGCCCCCAGTCCCCTCTGGGCAGCCCCCTGCCAGTGCAGTATCCCCAGAGCCTGCAGTCTGCATGGTGGCTCCAGCCCAGGGCACCCAGCTTGTTTCCCTGCTCTGGGGGGTCAGTGGGGGTCCCCAGAGAAGGGCAGGACAGGGCATGAATGGCAGGACCTCCCGCCTTCTCTCTCTGCTGTTAGAGCCCAGCAGGTCCCACAGTGGCTCTGAGCCCATCCTCTCCCAGCCTCAAGGTGTAAATCCTGGTCTTGCTTCTTCCCGTGCCGGGAGCCTCGCCAGCCCCACCGGCTTCCCCCAGGGACCAGGTCGTCCCAGGAGACCTACAATAATGAGGGGGCAGCCCCAGAAGGGAGGTCACAGGGCCGGATGGCTGACCCCGTGCTCCCCAGTCCCCATGAGACTCTACCATAACACAGCAGCACGTGCAGAGGGAAGAGCAACCCCGGCCACAAACGTACCTGACAGAGCTAATGTTTACAGGCCACCCTAAAATAATGAAGGCACAGGAACAGGGACTGCTCCCTAAGGAGCCCAGAGCCAGCCCCGGGAAGGAGACCCTGCATACACGTCCCTCAACCCTTCCCAAGGGGCTGGGGACAGCTGGGACAAGGGCGTCCTTGTCCCCATGGCTCCATGTCTGTGGGAAGGGGCCCGCCAGCCCCCCATAATCCCCCACCTCGGGGATGGCCTGTCCCCGAGCGAAGGGCTATCGAGCCGGGCCCCCCACCCGGCCCGGCGGTACCTGGGACACAGCGGGGCCGCGGAGCCGCTCCATGCTGACTATCCTGCGGGGCAGCGCTGCTATTCTGGGCCCGCGGCTGGCGTGGCCCTGGCAGATAGGGTGTCAGCGAGCAGTGCCAGCCGTGCCCCCGCCACCGCCGCGGGGGGGGACACCGCCGACACGGCCACGCAGCGCCCACAGCCCAGGGCTGGAGAGGGGGGGCCGCGGCTCCGGGGACAGCATTTGCCCTGGGGATCCGAGGGAAGGGGTGATGGAGGGGTGGCTGGGGGCAGAGAGCGGGAGGACACCCCGCTCCGCGGACCCCCGTTCTCCAGGAGCGGTGCTCAGCGCCCTGCCCGCCGGGTGGTGCCCCCGCCCCATCGCGGGTGGGGAACACAGCATGTTCCACTCCCCGGAGGTGTTGAAGAAGGGCTGGGTCCGGTCACGGGCTGAGAGGCGGCCAGAGCGGCTGCGGATCCCTCGCCCTCGACGCTGGCCAGCCCTGCCTGCCCCTGCCCGCCCCTGCCCAGGGTCCTGCTGCGGCTCACTGTGCACAGCCACCCCGGCCCCACGGCGGGGGCAGCCCGACCTGCTGGGGAACTTCCTTGCCGCTTGCCCGCCTCCGCCCTCTCTCGGCTCCATTTCTATTTCAGGGAGGTTCAAATAACACCTTGGCCAGCTTGTCGGGCCGGCCCGGCGCAGCCGTGGGCGAGCGGGCTGGTGGCTGCCGGGTCAATGGGACAGGGCTCTGCCTGGCTCCAGCGGACAGCTGGAGACACTGGCCCGCGGCGGGGTGGAAGGAATCCCCTGGTGCTGCCTTACGGCAGGCGGGAAGAGGAGGGACGAGGCCGAGAGCTCGGTACTGGGGTGACAGGAGGACACAGCCGGGTGGCCCGTGCCCCGCAGCGGTGCAGAGAGCGATGGGGGCGGGCCGCTACAGCTGTGCCGTGTAGAGCAGCCTGGCTCCAGCCTGGCCATCGCGGGTGCTGGCAGCAGGGAAGGGAGCAGGCATCTCCACTTTCGGAGGCTATTTTCAGGTGCTGGAGAGAAGCCGAGGAGAGATGAGATTGTCACCAAGGAGACTGGAGAAACAGGGCCCAGTGCCGGGAAACGGGGGGCTGCAAGGAGAGAGGAAGGAAGGGCTTTCTGTAAGCCCCAGGGCCCACACAAGAAGCTCAGCATCTCCTCTGGTCCCCAACAACCTGCCCAAGCGGCCAGCATCCAGCTAGCGGGCTGGGGCAACGTAACCCTGTACAGGCATCCAACCCTTCCTCCTACTGTAAGGCTGGACTGCTCTGTTCCCCTTGGTTACAGGTCCACAGGAGAGTCCCTAGGACATAAGGCAGTGATGCTGGGAGCTGCTCCTCCACACAGGGGGGCACACAAACCTGCCCCCCAGGGCAGCAAGAATTACCCGTGCTCAGAGAAGGACAGGGAAAAAGGGGGGTGGTAGCACAAAGCTACCCTGTCCAGAGCCCAGTGAAGTCCCGTGGGAAGAGCTGAGCTGCATCCCAGACACGAAGAGATCAGGGAAAGAGAGACATATGAGAACAAGGAGACCAGTTGAGTGTTAAACTTTAATAAAAATCCTTGAGAAACAAATGGAAAATAGAGAGCAGAGTCCAAGAGAAGAGCATCAGCCTGCAGTCCGAACACATATGCTGTAGGGTACACCAGAGAGCTGATGGGCTCGGCTGAAGGATGTTCCATCTCCAGCAGCCCTACTGTCCCCATAAACTGCAGCCATGCTGCTACGCATGGTGTCTCTTGAGCAGCAACGTGCAAGCCTGAGATATCCCCCAGGGCCCGATGCTGGGGTTAGGGCAGGATGTTGGCACAGGTGTTCAGAAAAGGTCCCAAGCCCTGCTCCTTCCAGAGGAGTGGGGTACTGATAAGGGACTTTTCTCCAGGGCCCAGGCTGCAGCAGGGCAAGAGCACACTTGGCTGCCAGCAGCTCAGGACACAGAGACACAGGCAACCAAGGGCTCAGCCTATGCTGGTTGGGGACAAGAAGGGCAGGCTCAGCCAGCTCCCATGCAGCAGATAAACCACCATGTCAGGATTTAAAAGCAGCCTAGGACAAAGGCCTGACAAACCCCACTTCCTCAGGCTTTGCCATTTGTTTTGAGAGCTGAAGTCACACAGCTCTCCTCTTTGCCCAGTAAAACATCCCTCTCCAAAAACAGCCCCGCAAACAAATGTGCAGTGCAAGGAGCTCCCACAGTCCTCGCTCTACAGAGCCAGCTCCCATCTCTTCCTTTGAGGTAGGTTGATGTGTCCCCAGTGGCTGCCTGCTCACATCACCAGGGCGGTGTCCGAGAGGCAGCCAGAAGGTCTCTGGTTGGCTCCACCAGTGCACTTGTTGAGAGGTAAGCTCTGAGTAGGGCTGGGCTCCAGGCATCTTGTAAGGTCCTCACCAGCTGAAGGGAGGTGTGTACTGCAGGAGAAAAGAGATCCTATGCTGCTTAGGGACAGTGAGAAAGGACCAAAAGGGCCATGGTGCGACATTCATCTGCAGTATCATGACACACAAAACTCAGAGATAGGGCTGCCAGGCTCACCTACTCCATCTCCCATCCCAGGCAGCACCACTCACCCCAACAGATATCCAAAACACTGATGGGACTTCAGAACCACAACTTGATCTCCCTGTCTGAATGTAAACCCAAGTCCATCCTGGTCTGGCTACAGGAACATGGATGTCCTTTCCCGTACCACAAGAGACAAGGGGTGTGCCTCCTCTCCACTTTGGCTCAGCCAGACCCTATCCTTCACCTCTCTGCAGGAAGCTCTCAGGGCCAGTAGCCCAGCTTTGCTCAGGGAAGCTGGCAGAATGAGGCAGACCTCGAGGCCTCACTGCTCCCCCAGTCTATGCTGCAGCTGAGAGCCTCTGCTCACTGCTAACCACATCAGTGCCCACAGAAGTGGCACAGTTCCCTATCAGGGGAACATCTTGTCAGCGTGTCCTGACCATGACAGCCCTGAACATTACTCAATCTGGCTGTTCTGGGCTTCACTCCCATCTGAGCTGGGCGCACAGTGCCAAGGAGACATGTTCAGTTACGCAGACATCATGCCAGACCCACCAGTTGGCTCTCCAGAGAGCTGAAGCTGGCTTCAGAGCCTGCAAACCAACCTGCTCCTCTTCCCTTAAACAAAGCTACTTTCCCTGCTGCCAGTTCTCTCCAAGGACACTAGTCCTAAAGCCACACTGTGAACACACGGCCAGTGCAAACTTACCCCAGTCTGCCCAGTTCCAGTTTGCTGAAGCCATTAGATTGAATGCTACTCTTCTGGAGGAAGAAAGACTTTGGCAATGACCACTACAGGAGGAGAGAAAGACAACAGAATGGCTATTTAAGTCATGGCAAAAATCCCTCAAGCCTGCTATGCTCTGCCATAGGCTGCCCTAGAGAGCTTCAGCTAGAGCTGCCTCTGCCGCACATCGTCACTGCCACCAGACTGTTCCAAGAATAGCAAACAGAGCAGTCTTTGCTCTCTGCCTAATGAATCCCTCTGCTGAAAGTGGGAGTAAAGCATCTCGAGGTCAAGAGTGGGTTTCTTTCAGTGCATCAGTGTGCTGTAAGGCACAAGAGTGACAGACGGAGATGACTCCCTCGCAAAGAGACTAAAGGGCAGGCCAGGTGCCAAATATGTAGGGCTGTACCCAGTGCACCCAAGGATATTCAGATGCAAAATACTTGTAGATCTGATATACTGTTCATGACTTCATGTTACTGGGAATGGGAAATAGGGCAGCATGGGTTTTTCCAGACTCCCAGAGGCCTTGGCAAAGAGGGAAGGAGGAGGTAAACAGGTAAGGCAGGAACCAGAGGAAGCAGAACAAGCAGGCTCTCTACCCAACTCTGGCAGGCAAACAAGCCTCTCTGACTACCTTACCCACAGTCATACGCACCATCTGGGCAAAATCTGTCCCTGTCCCAGTGTGGTACCCTTTGACACACCAGTTCTTCAGTAGCTCCAGACCTGGGAAGCGACAGAAGACAAGAAGTGAGAATGAACAGCCAGGTTTGCAAAGAGTTAAGCCTTCCCAGCTTGAAGCATGTAAATATGCTGCACTGACCACGCAGAACATGCTATGCAATCACTACTTGAACACGTGCCTGACCGCCAGCAAACATGGGGTAAATCAAGGGCGTTCACCCTTTGTACGAGCAAACACCAGCACATGGGCTGCTGCAGTGCCTGCCTTCCTCCCAGGGAGCCAAGACACTCCATGCAGCAGTCTCAGTGAAACAGGGAAACTGGGGCAACACAAGATTTGCCAAATTAGACCAGATTGGCTGTCCCCCTGAGCCCAGTGCCTGCCAACAGCAGCACCTGATTTGGGCTGCACCGGTGAAAGTTCCTACAACACAAATGTAGAGCAGCTTTGCTGTCATCGGCCTCTTTCCCAGAGGAGGGCAGCTCAGGTAACCTCCTCCTTACACAGCACTGATCAGCTGCAGCATCCCAGTGTATCATCTCCTCCCTGCAGGGATTCATCCAGAGCTCAATGTGGACTGAGACCTGGTCTCCATCCCTGACAGTGGGACCGAGCTCATCACTGGTGTGACGGGAAGGGACCATTCCTCTCACCACACACAAGGCACAGTGCTCCAGAGCACAGAGAGGTCATCTTGAAACAGAGTCACATGTTCGACTGCACTGACCAGAAATAACCCAAAAACATTGAGAAACCCAGGGCTGCTCCCGTCCTGTTTTCAAGAGCCTTCAGGTCATAGCAGAAGCTAAGGTGCCTTGAGATTTAAGAACCAGCAGAGCAATGGCCAGGAACTTGATGCTGTCCAGCTGGGATTACTGTAGTTTGCTATATGATACCAGTCCTGGCTACAGGAGAAATCCTTGCTGTCCAAACTCTGCTCCTCAGTGACCTGTCAGCAAGCCCCAGAATCTTGTAAAAAAAAAAAAACAAACACATGTGTTGGGGCTGAGGGGAGTGGGGCAGCTTGGACACCCTGTCCTCAGCCTGTGCACCTACACAGGCTTTGCACCTTGCTGGCTAGGGTGAGAGGAAGGCATGGAACACAGGGGAACAGGAAGGGGACAGGGGAAGTTGGGTTCTGCTCAGAGGTGAACAGCAATGAATGGGGAGAGTAAATCCGCTCACTGGGCTGCTTTGGGGAAGCTGGAGCACTGACCCAGGACCCTGGCCTAAGCTACAAAGTTCTGGGCAGCACTTCAGTGAGAATGATGACAGGATCTTCCTTCCAGCTGACGGGAGAGCATCCAGCAAAGGTATTAGCGAGGCAAAGTATGACACATGCTGACAATGCAGCTGAAGAGGGCTATGAGGTTTCCATCTCCCTGTGAAAGACTGTTACTGACCCCTTTGATATTTGCTTTAACACCAGTGAAAAGGGACAAAAGCATTTTTCTTTTTTCTCTGCATGACAGCCGGGCTGGGAGCACACATACGGACATCACAGTGGAGGGCCAGCTCCTGCAGAAGCCTATCCAACTAGATCAGATGTTGGACAGAGAGCCCTGAGCCACAGCCTCTTTCTTTTTGTCCACTAATCCATCATGCTAGACCTCATGGATTCTCTCTCCCAAACAGCCTCTACTGTTACCGTGACAGAGACAGCCTTGGGTGAGAAGGAATTGGTCCAGCCACCTCATTACAGGATGTTTTTTATTAAAATACAGAACTATGTCCTGGAAAGGTGGAAATGTCAGCTAGATTTCTAGTGCTTAGGAAAAATTTCTGTCTGCATGCTGACAATTTTTCATCAATTAGAAAGCTGCAGGAGACCAGGGAATAGGCCAAATTTTTCCTTCCCTTCCCAGATCACCTGTAAGGAGCAAAGCTAGGAACTCCAGCTGTTTCTCTCTCAAAAGAGGCCAGAGCTACAGGCTGATGTAGCTAATCCCAGCCTCTTCATCCCCAAGGCACCTAGAAGTGCTGGTGCCGAACAGTCATCACCTCTTTTCAACTCAGAATAAGCTTTTTGTGATATTTGAAGCAGTCTAGGAGGGTAACACTTTTCCTACTGGTTAGTGTGCAGGCAGGCAGCTCCCTCTGAACATGCGTAGCTCAGAAGCCTCCCACGACTGCCGGCAGGCAGCCTGCCTGACTCAGGTGGCTGTGTCAGGCTTTAGGAGGGAAGTTACCTTTCTGTCTATTCAAGTAGTATTTGAGCTCCCACTGGGTCACCAGGATGTTGAAGTAACGAGGCTGCTCAAAGAAGCGCAGGTACCGCATAGAGATGTGGCTGGGGAACACCCTCTCAAACTGCCCACGCCGGGAATACTCATCCTCTGTCTCCACCAGGATGCGAACATCATCTGGGGTCAGGGTATCCAAGACAGAAGAATAAAAATCCTGCAGACAAGAGCAACCCAGGGTCAGGGAGAAGTATCTCTCAAGCAGAGGTCTCCATGTGTCTGAGCTCTTTGGGGCACATGTCCCATGGAAACTGAAGGACTCTAGGCTCAGTGATAACATCAACACTGCACAGAACTGAAGAGATCCCCAGTTCTGCAGCCCAGTCTCTCACACACACTGCCAGGAGGCACACAAGGCCAGCAGCCCTGCTAACCTGCATAGGGTCAGCAGGCAAAGGCTATAAGAGCTGCACAGGCAGTGCTCAGGCTCTGTTTTGGGGACTGGTAGGCAATGTGCCTCTCAGCACACACTTATTTATATGTACAAATGAGTCAGTGAGACATTGGCTTAAGCAAACCCAATTTATTTCTGATCAGTGATCTTGTAACCCACTGGAGCCTAAGTGTGCCCCATCACTTGGCTGACCTCAGAGAGGGACACAATATGAAGAGGGACCAGGGATAGACCTGTGGGACTGGTGGGGACAAGGGCTTGGGAGGATGGTGCAAGTATCAAAGGAGAATGTTTCATACCTGGTCAGGTATCTTCTGCATCGAGTAATAGGCCTGCTTCATCTTCTCTGCTCTGAAATGCTCAGACACTGGCTTGGGCTTTTCTTTCAAAGCACTGTCCAGACTGAGAACACAAGAGAGGTAGTAGAGCATTTAAGCAAACAAGACAAAGCCCTGCTATGGCAGACCTGCTCTCACCAATTTCTGAGAGAGCAGTGACACCCTCAGAAAGATGCCATGGAGGAGAGAACACTTTCTCCAAGGATTTCACTAGTTCCAAGATCAGTGACGCATCCACAGCCGTGTCCATCAGCACAGGACCCAGGAAGGCCGTGGGCAGGGAAACTGGGAGGACTCTGCCAGCTCCTCGCTAAGGCATTTCAGTGTTCCTTCATCCAAAAGGTGAACCATCACTTCACACTCACATAGGATGCAAGAGGGTCAAAGATACACTGTGACATGATTCACAGCACATGAAGCCTGGGGGGATCTCCTGTTTACACTGCACTTGGAACACAGCTTCCTAACTGCAAGCACAGGGATGGGGGTACAAGTACTCAGTACTGGTACTGTACAAGGAAGAAGAGAACTCCTAGATCAAAAACTTCCTCTGGCATCCAAGACCTCTCAAGACTTGAATCCAACTCCAGCTCCACATGCCATGGGAAATCCCGGCCTTTGTACTATCTGACCAAGAACCATCTAAAGTATTCTAAGCACCAACTGAACCACTCAGGGATACCAGAGTCTGGGAGATACTTCTTGAAAACCTTTCAACCGAGCTATCAACATAGCTTTTTTTGTTCTGCTGCTGCAAAAGTAATTAGTTGTGTGCAGATTCAAACAGGGGGAGCAGAGCCTCGAGGCTGTGCTGCATGGTGCTCGGGGAACATACAGATCTACCGGAATTAGGCCCATATGCAAAAAGACCTTTCATACCCTTCCCAGGGCAGGAGATACTATTAAACAACCTTGCCCCTGGATGCAAGAACTCTGGTAATGCATCATCCGAACCATGTTAAGGATTTGCTTAATCCCCTGCAGGTCCCTCCAAGGACGCCTGCCCTTCAGCACCCCCATCGGAAGCCACAAACCAGTGTGTGAACAAAGCACCGCAGATGAGCTGGCGAGAGCTTCCCATCTTGAACAGGCCCATGCTGCAGCTTCTCCCTTCACTGAAGGCACAGGGCACACAGAGGGCAAGAGCCCCATCTTTTGGCATGACCACACATCACTGCATGTGGGTGCTCATCCCAGCAAGCTGCTCCTTCAGTGACATATGGTCAGCAGCCACTCTGCTGCAGGGAACAGACTGGTTTCCTTCTAGCCTTTGGGTTTGAAAGCAGGATAAGCCCTAGCTGTGGTGAGGAACAGGGGCCTGGGTGGACACATGCCCAGGAATTAACCTTATGCAAGAAACAGTCATGTTAGCTGCAAGGTTAAGACTGTGCACGCCCCTACCCATAGGTCTGCAGCCTTCGACAGCAGCGGTCCTGCCTAAGGAACTAACCAATCCAGCCCTTGCAAAATAACAGGTGCTCCTCTTGCTCAAAGAAGTGGCACATCAGTTCTGGTAAGTCAGAGGGCAAGTGGATCCAGCCCCAACAGAGTCAACCAGCATGCCCAGCAAAGCTTTCTAAGCTGCAGATGAATGCTGCTTTTGCAGGCAGAGAGGACTTTCATTCCTGCAATCTGGAGAGGGAAGCTTCAAGCAAACTGAGAGGCTGTGAGGCTCAGCATCATATTAGTTCTGGCAGGGGGAAAGACAAGAGAGTTTGACTAACTGCAGAGCAAGCACAAATTACATTGGCCTCACTTCCAACTATGGACCTGCAGAAAGGGCATAAATCCTTCCGCCTTGAAGAGACCGCAGAAACCAGATACCCAGGCAATGATGCAAGTTCCTTGGACCCATATCTGAAGGACCAGCAAGCACAGGCTCTCAACAGCCCAGCATTTGCTGGGCTCTAAGTAGCCTCCCAGATGAAATCACTCAAGAAAAAACCTGCCTCTTTGACAGAGAAGGGGGCTGACCTGCAGGTAGAGCTACTTCTTGTCTCTGGCCTTGAGGCCACGCTGTCCATGCTGGGCAGAACAAAGCCAGCAAGGTTGAGAAGGTCTCGAACCATCTGGCCCTTGATGCTCACATCCAGAGGCGAGTTGGAGTGGAGGCTGCAGAGACAAAGCATAACAGCAGTTTGAGTGACAGAATGGAGGTGCTGAGGCCCATGGCCCTGAGATCAATCCCTGGGTTATTACTGACCAGAATACAAACAGCAGCCTGTCCCTTGCCTCATCACAGCTGGCCATGAGACACACAGAAAAATCCTGACAACAGCTCTTTGAAAGGGAGTTCCCCATCAGAAATGGTTCACTTTTCCATCTCTTCCCAAATTTGCTGGAAATAGGCAAATCCATCCCCAGAGTCCTGTGTAGGACCATGGCTGTGTCCAGCTCATGCCCATCCACTCTTGCCAGCAGGAAAGGCCATGCTCAGTTACACTGCAGTTCCCAGCCGTGTCTGCACAGCTGACACTGCCTGGCTGGGTGCTGTCAGCAAGGAAGAAATGGTGCATGAGGCAGTGGAATCGCTGATCACTTTTGCCCACGCAGAGAAGAAATCTCTGCCATCACCCATTCTGTACGTGACACATTCCTTCTTGGCCTTCCTTTTTTAACATATTCTTCCCTGGCTCTAGCTGGAGCATGCCCAACAAAGCTTTCTGAGCTGCAGATGGATGTTGCTTTTACAACATGAAGGGAGGACCTTCATTCTGGCAATCTGGAGAGGGAGGCTTCAAAGCCCACAGTCTTTTAGCACAGGATACAGGGGACATCACAAACCAAACTCATTTTGTGTTAAAGGGAAGGCCATTATTCACTCTGCTGCAGCTCAGAATCTGCTTTACCTTGGGGAAATATTGACCTCTAAGATCCAGGGCTTGAGGTTTTCATCCAGCATGATATCAAACCCAAACAGCTCATGGCAACAATATGGTCGGCGCACGTACATCTTCACAAGGCTGTTCACGTACGGCTCAGATCTGCAAGCCAAGGAAGAAATGCTTGTTTCCAACAGTCAGACAGCAGAGGTCTGGCTGTTCACAGCACATGCTGACAGTTCTGGAAGCATAATGCAGCCACATGCTGCAGGATCAGGTAGGTGAGAGACGGACACAGGCCTGTGAACTGCTACTGCTGCACTGCATACGGATCCAGCACTGCAGATCAGGCAGCATGGACTGCTGAACACAAGATTCATTCTGCACCAGTGACCATTCTTGTCAGGCTCCCTGGCAAAGCAGGTGAGTGGGTAGCAAGCTGGGCAGCACCGGGCATACCACACCCTCCTGGTCTGCAGGCAGGCCCAGGAAATGTAAGGTGTATTTACCCACTGCAGCATGAGCATACGTAACAGGATGAGAGGAAGAATCCAGATAGAAATACTGAAGCCAACAGTGGTGATACCATTTCAATTAAGAGCAAAAGGACCAGGCTGAGAGGGGACTGGAAAGCCAGAGGGCTCGGGGTGCACCGCACAGCCAGGCACAGAGCAAGGGGTGCCAGGACTCACGCAATGATGGTTTTGATAACGATGTCCTTAATCTTCTCCCAGATGGCCTCACTATTCACTCCCTTCTGGGTCAGGTAATTCCAGAGAGCTTTGAGTGCCCTGGAGAGAGAAAGCAAAGGAGGTAGCTCTGTAGCCCCTTGCTGAAAGGAGTGAAAGCAACAGAGGAGAGCCCTGACAACACCCTTCCCTGGCACAGCCATCCTTCTGCCATCCTCAAGCCCCTCAGTTGCTGCCCTCCCCAGCGTGGCCCCTTGTCTTGTGGGCCCAAGCTACTAGGAACATAAATTTGTCCCAGCATGGTCTCAAATTAGCACATGAGCAAGGTAAGTCAGGCCCACATCTTCTCTTCCCTCCCCCTCCATGTCCTCAGCAAACCTCCCCTTCCTGCAGGCCTTCCCCCGCAGCACTGCAAAGCAGCTCAGCAGGAATCCAGCAAGATCCTGAAAATGTTTTAGCTAAAGCCATTTCACTGAGGCTTCGGGGCAAGAAAAATTTTTGAAAAATGTGGGGAACAAGATGGTATGGGGGAGCATCTCTGCTTTTATAGGAGTTTTCCACACTACATCGAATGCTGCAAGCTACCCTGACACTGAGCCAAGGATGCTCAGATATTTCTCAAGTGAGAGCATGTGGCTAATGGCCAGGAATCCAAAGGTCATGCTTCCTGCATACAAGATGGAGTGGATTACAGCCACACTTATCTTTAACATGAGAGCAGCCAGCTTTGACTTGCAATGGCAGTACAGCAAACCCACACAATCCCACCCCCATGTGACTGCAACTGCTGGGAGGGAGCAAACTGCTTAAAAGTCCCAAGTGGAGAAACAGAAAAGTGGAGAAACAGACCACTGTGCAGCATGTCCTGGCCTGAGAAAGCAATCTGACCACAGCAAACCACTTTCTGCAACTCCCTTTGAAGTGCAGTAGCCCTGTCCAGGCTGCGAATTGAGAACTCTACCGTGCACTATTTTTAAAAGAGTTCAAACACTACCATGGAATCAGAGGCAAGTGCCCGGGGCTTGCACCCGTTCACCCATGGGACAGCAGGGAATGGGAACTCCTGCAAGACTGCAGCCCTCCTTCCAAAGGCCTAGAAATGGCACCACTGCTCCTATTCACGCTGAGCGCACATAAATTAACATTCTGCAACAGGGCTGTCCCTTTCTCTGGCTCCAGAGGGAAGTCAAGAGTGAGATGGGCAGAAGTTTCCATCTAGCCAATTTAAGCATCACAATTACCCATTCAATTTCTGACAGCAAAACCAATCAGATTCTGCTTTAACCACATGCCATTGCCTCCACAATAGGGCAAAGGAATGAATGGACACAGATGACTGCAGCATTGGAAGCAGGAAACGGCACAGACACAGGCAGGATGAACAGCAACCACAGCCCAAGCAGCAGTGGACAGGATAAGTCACAAGGCACGGAGACCATCCACATTCCATTGACAGTAACTCATGCTAAAATCACTCTCCTCTTTCAGTTTCCCCAGTGGGAGCAGATGATACAGAAAGCAAGTTCAATTTTTGGGTAGGAATAATGAAAAAAGTCTGAATTAACAGGAAATATAAAGAGTTGCCCTGTGCCCTAAAAGCAGCACCTACCATTTGTGTCCCTGACAAGCAGTCTCATCCGAGTTGGACTTGTACTCTGTGTTCTTCTTGTTCACACTGTAGTTGGTTAAATGCACGAACTTGTTGCTGAGGCTCTCCATCGAGGAGGAGTACCTGGAAGAGGTAATAGGAGCACAAGCAGCCTGAGACTGAACTGGCTGCCCCCAGGTCCATCTCAGACCACTCTCAGCCACCCACCAGTCCTGCTGCCTGGAGCTCTCTGACCCCACAGGCCCAGAGTTCATGGACAAAACATGAGACAGCACAGGCTTCCTTGGGACAGTGGAACATAATCCCACCCTCACAGCATGTCCTTAAGAAAAGGCCAGAGCATCGGTGAGCAGAAGCACTACTGGAACTGCAGTAGTCTGAGGCATATAATGAAAACTAGAAGAAACATCTCAGATTCTGGTGTGCCAGCTTTTATGCAGAACGAAGAACAGACAGTATGTTTCAAGGACTGCTTTACACTGAGCTCATCTTGCATTGGGGAAGGTGGATGTAGGCAGCATCCTCTCACATTCCCTTTCAACACTGTCACCTGCAACGACCTCGTGTGTTTCCACTCTGCTTCTTAAGCAAGCAAGATATAGCTTTGAGCATCACCATCTAGGGGATGACCCTCTCCTGCCACAGCCGAGGCAGGTACCACAGCCACACATGCCCTGGCACCAAGGCAGCCCCAGCACCACTCTCCTGCACAACCTACTTGCAGCTGGCAAAGCGAACCAATCCATCCTTGAACAGGTAGACCCTGAGGGGATCGTAGCAAGTGACGTAAACATAGATCCTCAGGTCAAACTTCTTCCCGCCAATGAGGTAGGGTTTGTGCAGATACCTGCAGAGGCAAGTAAGTTATGATTTTCATGTGCAGGAACATCTCTAACCCCCAACTCAGAAGGCTTGGTAAAACAATGGATCAGTGTAGAAGTCCTTTTGCACAGCATTTCCAAGTTAATCACATCACAGTCAAAATGAGAGAAAGAGCAGCTCTCCTATGCACGGGGAGTTCCCACAGCACAGGAGCAGTGTTCCCTTTTGTTCAGTTCCATTTTGAAAAGATTTTCCCCAGCTCTAAGGCACAGTAGTTTTTCCACACCCACAAGACTGATCACAGTATTCAGGAACATCTAAGACATGCAGTACAGCACAGATGGTTTGGTACAGTGAGCAGAAACAGTTGGATATTTTAATCCAAATCATTTGATTATTCATCTTAGAAGTTCATGATCTCCCATAGGAAAGTTTATCACTTTGCATGAGAAGTGGACAGGGAGAACAAACAAGCAAACATAGCAGTTCCCTGTCTGCCAAAAAAACTGCACAGTTTTCCTGCCCTCAAGAATCTTCCCAGAAAGCAGCATCGAACCAAGACAAGATATTCCATTTTTCTGCAGAAGGGGAAGAAGATTGACAACTCTGTTAATTCAAGAAAATCCTTTCACTAACATCTATACATACTGAGGTTCTTACTGAACCATTCTAACTTGGATAAGAACAAATCTTTGACAACTGCCACCTCTTCCCTGGGACTTGGATAAAGTTTGTCTCCAAATATGCCAAACCACAGAGTAGAGAGCAGTAGGAGCCAGATCACAGCAGAGCCAAAGCTGTTCACCTGCCAGATAGAAGCTCCAGAAAGCTCATGAAGTCAGTTTGTATCCGAGACCTCAAATATCTACGCAGAGACAGCAGCACTGACAGCTGCAGCTGACAGAGCCAGACTTCCAGCAGCAGGACACCCAGGCAGTCTCCAGAGAAGTCTTGAGATGCAAATCAGATGCTTCTGCTCTGCCATACAGTGGCATCGGCCCAGAACTGGCCAGAGAGACCAGCCACTACAAGGTCCCAGGCTGTGTGTCAACCACGGTTTTTCCTTCACTCACCTCTGTACTAACAGCGGCCTCCTTTTGGGGAGCTGGCTCCATTTGTGGATGACCTGGATACCAATGCCTCTTGCTGATGCTGGCTGCAAAACACAAACAAGAAGGGATCAGATCTTCTCCCTGCAGCTACAATGGGACAGAAGGTTGAGCTCTGCTTTACACTTACTGGTTTCACAATCCATTTCTGTCTGCTAGCTCCTTCCTCCCACGCCTTCTTGAGTAATTTGATGTCCTGTGGCAGGATGAAGGACTGAGGGAAGAAGTTAAACTCCTTTTTCCCACAGCGAGCCTGCATCTTCAACAGGTTGCGCCACAGACGGTCTTTTCTCCCAATTTGAAATGAGCCGGGGAAGTGGTTTAGCTGGAAAGGAACCCAGATGCTATGATGTCTCCCTGTTTCCCCAGCTCCTTGCCTGCCCCTTCCTACTCCCTGGCCAGAGGATACGTCCTTTCTGAATCCAGTGCAGGGTGACACTCTTCGCTCCTCTCCCAGGACTGCACCCAAATTGATTCCACTTGAAGCTTCTGAAGCTTTGTAGGGACAAACCACATGGTTTGGAGCATCACAGCTCTCCAGAGCAAACATGTACTTGTGATAGATACCAAACCTTTGGTCCCTCACAGGCTCCCCAAGCATGAGCCACACCTGACTGTTTTGTGATCTGAATTAGGTACATCCCCTCTGCTGCACTGGCAGAGAGGGCACTGCCTCTACCTCTCAATTCTGCCAGAGGAAGGACTGCTTTAAGCAGCAACAACTAAATTTAGACAAGCTCACAAGTGAACACAATTTGGCTACAGCCTCAGTTTGTGCAAGAGCCACAGCAGAGAAGCTCACCAAGCTGTGCCTTCCTCTTGAGATCCTCTCCCAGTTCTGGAAGGGACACTGCAGGGACAGCCTGCACAGCAAACACCTGGCCCTGAGGAGAGGGGCACCCAATTTGTTTCCAACACACTCTCCATGCATGTGAAGGAAGTCAGCCCAAAACATCCCCTACCTTTTGGTGCTCCCTGATGGCTCTGAAGCTGGGAGATTTCATGTGGTGGCCCCAGCAACCCAGCCAGTCATTGCTTTCTGTAGGAAAAACAGAAAAGTCCAATACCAAGCATGCTGCCACCCATAACACCCTCTCAACCCACCAGCACCCCATCTCCTGGGGCAGGCAGAAGCGTGCCAGGGATGCTGCACAGCTATAGCACAGAGCACTCATACTGGCTACTGCAAGATTACCAACCCTGAGAACTCTGGCTGTGGTCAGAGAGGATGGCTTCTTCTTCAGCACATGGGGACAAGGGGCAGCAGTGCTGGGGCTGGCACCAGATGATGGCCAGCCTCCCTGCAGTGGCAAGCCAGAGCAAAGCTGCCCCACATGCTGCCTCAGCTTCTGACAGCCCAGGAGTAAGTTCTTGTGGTCCATGCCAGGGATGAGCCAAGACGGAGATTAGGCCCTGCCAGGACCTACAGAGCTTGGGTACTGCAGGTCAGGCAGGCAGAAATGGGAACCCAGCATCTTGCAGTACCAAGCTTGTATTGCTTCTGCTCTACTTTTCCCAGCCACTCTGCCTTCTCAGGCCCACAGACTGGAGGCGAGGAAGGACACAGTGTTGCTACCCACAACTTACTTGTGCTAACTCTGAAGTGGGACCTGCAAACAGTTTGCCTCACAATGTTCGGTGTGACTCCACACATTTTCCATCGCAGCAGCTTCCTCTGCTCCCAAGGCAGTTTTTCCACTAGAAAGGCAAAAAGTTAAGGACTGAAGGAAAACAAACACAATACTTGGGTTTTCTACAGCTGCGAGGTTCTTATGATTTGCTGCACAGGTACCAGGCCTGCAAAGAAGGGTGCGTAGCCCCCGCTGCAGAACTAGCATGGAGCAGAAGACTCCATAGCTGAGGAAGATCCAGGACACTGGAATTTAGTGGCAGCGTGAGTCATGCTCCAGGCTATGGAAGCAGTATAATTTACTCCAGTCCTCTGGACCACAGAGCAGTGCTGGGTCTCATCATGGGAGGGGTGAAGGGAAGCCACTCCAGCCAGCTCCCGGCTGTGTGCTGGCACTGCTTGCTTCCTAATTAACGGGCTGCCCAATCTCACCTTGTGTGGCAACAGACCCTGGCTCACCTGTCTCATCCCGAGTACTGAAGTAGATAGTTGGAGGCACATTAGGGAATAAACTGCAGACAAGAGCTGGTTTGAGCACTTTTTCCTGAGCCTCAGCAGGCTGGGCCAGGCACTTGATGCAATTCCTAGGAAAGATGAAGCAGGTGGCAGTTGGCTAAAGGTGAAAAGTATCACAGGGAGGAAGGGGGAAGCCAGAAGAAGCCTTGATCAGGAATTTGCACCATCATCATAATGTGGAACAAGCAATGGGCATTAGGGTCAGTAACCCAGCCTGCAGCGATGAGGGGACGAGCTTGCAATGAATGCACCCACCAAATAAGCACTGTGAGGTTTGTGTTTTGCTGGGGCAAGGAGTGGAAGTTTTTACACGACAAAGTTCTAGTTCATAGGAACAAGGAGTGGAGATTGTAATGCATATGATTTAGCTGTTGTAACCTCTTGGTTTTGGTGTGTTGCAGGGAAGAGGGCTGGAGTTTTACCCACTGTATGTACATCTTAACACAGCAAGCCCCAACACTGGGAAGGAAGGGTAGAAATTGTACCATAGCTCTTAAGGTTTTAAGGTGATGAAGCGAAAAGTAAAGTTTGCAGTGAACATACATTCAAATATATGTCACTGCAGCCAGTGCAAGAAGCCACACTAGAGCAATCACTGAGGAACAAAGAGCAGCAAACTAAAAGGAACCACAACACACTGTCTACCCAGTCTCGCAGGCCACCCCTTGCCTCACTAAAGGGACTGAGCGTAGTCTGTGGCAAAGGGATTGGAAACCAGGATGGGGGAAGAAGGGGTGTTTTCCTTAAGTCCTTATGTATATTTTTTTGTCTTTTCAGTATCAGAATCAATATTCAAGTTTGTTAATTGGCAAAGGATTATATTAATTAACATTCTCTGGCACAAAACTGGTTTTGCCCACAACAAACTGAAGGCAGGAGACAGCTGCAAAGGCTTCAAGGCCAGTCCAGCACACAACCTACACAGGAAGTGGCCAACATACTTCCCTCCTTGCTGCAAGAGGCATTTGGCCCAAGCCCTGCTTCCCCTATTTGCCCCAGAGGCCACCCAGCCACATCCTGCCAGAAACAGCTGCTGGGCCAGTTTACATCACCTCTGCAGGACTTTCACAACCAAATATGCCCACCCAGAGCCCTGCAGCACCCTGAGGCTCAACATTTGCTCACAGGAAGCCTTGCTTGTCTCCCAGGTTAGTGATGACATGATAGCAAGCAGCAAGCTGTTGGGCAGACAGCAAAGCCTGAGGCAGCCATAGTGCAAAACCAGCTCCTGTTGCTGCATGGGCAAGAAAAGGTCACACAAAGGTCTGCCAGGAGTCACAGAGGCAGGGCTCAGATGACCACAGGCTGAGCAATCCTCCCCACAGAAAGATCCTCACATAGGCTAAAGAAAAACCCAGGCTCCAGGACTTGTTTCTAGGATGCAATGCTGAGACACAAGACCACAAGAAGCTTTTGCAATCTCTGGCCCAGGACACTTCCACTCTGCTTCATCTGCCAGGCAATGACACTGCAAGAGCACAGTTTAATCCAGTAAACCTAACCCAAGAACTGGCAGTGCTAGTGAAATTAAGACCCATGTTTTGCTGCAGTGGATGCACACTTAGCACTTTTCAGGCTGCTGCCTGTAGCCAGAGAAGTAGCTCTGGCCTGCAGTGCACCAAGGAAACTCACGTTGGCTGGGAAGTCTGTTGCTACCTTGTCTCCATTATCCCACATGCTACACATTTCCTCTGTCACCAGGGAGGGCAAAGATGGACAAGCCTGGATAAATATGCCAAGTTCAATGCAGTATTTACAGCTACTAACCTGGATACAAGACTCATGGAGCCACTGGATGACACATCAGTAACAGAGGAAGCATCCGAGTCACCTGCAGGAAGGAACAAACTCAAGTTTTGTCTCCGTGAGGAGTGAACACACACAGAGTTAGGAAGGGAAGAGAGAAAACAAATGCTCCAGAGGACAGAGCCTTCCAGTTGCCCCAAATCCTTGGATCTTGGGTTTTGACCACTAATTGGTGTTGTAAAAAGCAGGGAAAGGGGCAGAGCTGACAGCCCTACACAGAGAGAAGATGAGTAACCACTGTACCAGGACAGTGGTGAGCCCTAGCCTGCTCCCCAGAGGAACCCGTGCAGGAACCCTTGCCCTCCTTGCTGCTACATCACTTTTGGGTTCAGCACATCCTGAAATGACAGCATGAATGTAAGACAGGAGGACAGCTGTGCTCACCCCCAGCTCCCAGACAGCTCCCACACTCCCCACTTTGAGGCATGGAGCAGAGCCCTCCCAGGGGAACCAGCACTCACTGTCCTCATCCTCCTCTTGACTGCAGCTCTCGTCCAGGCCATCAGGAAGTTCTTCCTCTGCTTCATCCTGGGGATGGCTTGGCTCCAGCAGTGACTGATCAACAGTGGCACTGGGACAAAGGACATCACATCAGAAGGAATGGCACATGCTTTCTGGGGCCAAAAAAACCCAGAAGCTCATGAGGCAGCATGAGATAGTGTGGGCAGGGGAGTGAGAGCACTGCCCTCTCCAGTGCAAGCACTCATCCCAAGCTAGCAAGATGGAAAGGCCCGAGAGGACCCTGAGAAGAAACATGTTCCAGAGCAGCCAGAAAGCAAGAGGCACAAGGACACCCTCTCCCAGCAGGAGAGCAGGAGCTCCATGTCCTTGCATCAGCTCTGTGTTCCTTTATGAACCCATGTCTTTGACTAGGAAAGCCTGGCTTGACAGCAGGCTTCACTCAACATATTTGCAGAGCCTGCCACTGCAGGCAGGGCCCCTGACTGAAAAACAAACTAGAAACACCATACAGCAATTCCATGCTGTGGCTGATGGAGAAGGTGGAAGGGCTTGTGTCAAGCTGGGGGTAGCAGGAAGGCTACCCCCACACCAGGATGCCACAGTTGGGTTTTGCTCAGGGACACAGCCCATGGTAATCCTTACAGCCACCCCTGTACCGCCCACAGCGCATCCTCTCCCAAAACACACAGATACAATGGCCAGCCCTGCCCAGCCCGCCACAGCCTCCCTCCTCCTCCTGCCTCTACTTACTCAAGCTTTCCTTGGACAACAGCCTGGACCCATTTCTTCTCTTTTTCCAGTTGAATGGTGGACATCTGTTTTGTCACTTCAGAGATGGCAGCGAGGTGTAGAGGCTCAGCTCTCACCACCTGATTCCCCGCACGCGGGCTGTGCGTGCCCACGAGCCGGCAGTCGGAGCTGCCATCGGGAGCACCAGCACGTGAGGCCAAAGGACAGACGCTGACACGGTTAGTGCAGGCAACGGCACCACTGGTGCCCCTAAGGCTCGAGTTACTGTTAAGGCGATGGCTCCCCCGCTCCAAGTTCAGAGGAGCAATAGTGTCTTTTGGGGTGAGCTGCGCTCCGACGTGCTGCCTCCTCCTGCTGTTCCAGTTGGACAGGCTGCCCACCTTTGTAAGGCCAGAACTTCTGACTTGGCACCCAAAGCCGTTGCGTGCGGCAGCCTGACTGGCTAGCTGCTGCACAGCCTTCAAGAGGCTCTTCTCCGGCTCCTTCTCTTTTGAGCTGTGAACTCTCTTCTGAGTGTCCTGCCATGAGCACTGGTCCTTCCTGAGGACAGCACTGCTTGGCACAAGGGTCAGGGAGGGGACCATGGTTTTCTTCAACACAAGGTCACTGTTTGTCACCGCTCCATTGATCAGGCTGCTAGAGAAGCTGTCTCCATTGCCCCCAGAGTGGAGCCATGAGGCAGCAGGAGAACTGTGGGGTTTTTCCACCTTTTTGATCTCCAGTGACTGCAGAAAAGGCACTTTAGCACTGCTTGGACGTAGGAAGGAGTTGTTATTGAGCACTGGTCTATAGGAGCTGGCAGCCTGCTGACCTGAGCTGAGGGCAGAGCCTTTGACCCCAGTCCCAGACTGCTCCTCCACCAGCACAGGAAGCAGGCAGGGTTCCATCAGCGAGGAAGACATTGCCCTTCCCGTGGCAGAGGCAGTGCCAGGAGGGCTTTGGAGGCTGTCTTCAGTGGGCTGTGCGTGGCATAGTGACGGTGAGCACAAGAAGCAGGATTGCTGCAGAGGGATCCCTGAGGGCAGCAGGATTCGATCCTGGAAAGCACTCACATACCTCTTCTCTAAATTCCAGGCGGGTTTCGCCTGCTGCTGAGAGAGGCGCCAGGCCCAGCACGGCTGAGGTCTCCCAGCCAGAAGGGTGCCTGACTTGGGCCCAACACTCTTCTCCTGTTTGGGGCCCAGATTAGCATGGTCTGGTCCTGAAGAGGCCATGTAGAGCCATAGCACGTGAGGCACAAGCAAGTCAGTCATCTACAGCAGCATCTTTGCTGGCCTGAAACAAGAAAATGGCATAAAAGGCACTGTTACCCTGTCAGGCACAGCACCCAGCCCAGTGCACCATGAGGAGAGCAGGGTGAGCTGCTTTTCCTGCAGGATGAAAACCACATCTCCATCTGCTGAGCTCCCCAAGAGTCTCCCCAGACCAAGTCAAAGAAGAGCTGGCATCTCACATGAAATCAGAGGATGCAAAGGAAACTGCAGAGAGGGACATCTGCAGGAAAGCTTGTACCCTGCAAACATGCAGGGGTGCCTGACTGCCAGCCAGGGCCGTGGGGTAGCAGCCCTGTCTGCAAGGAGAGGCTGCCTGCCTTGGACCCACACAGCTGTTGGAGCCCACTCTTACAGGTCTGTGTCTCCAGGCTGCACCATATGCTCCACTACCAGCTCTCCTGACTCCACCACAAGCATCAAAACGTCTGCTTTTTTTTTCTCCCCATTCCTTAAAGCTTCAGCTTCCAAGGTTACACACCTAGGTGAGAACCTCAGCCCTGCTTTTAAAAGGAACATTTTTCACCTTTGTAACACCAGAGAAAGGCTCAGTGAGGTCTGAGGGCACCCTAAAGAGCTCAGTGCTGAGAAGGCAGCAAGGAGCAAATGCAGGGCTGTTCTAACATCACCACCTCGGTTTCCAGCAGAGACTGGCAGTGCTGTGCACTCATATTCCTCCCCGCTGCAGTCCTACAGAAAAATCTCCTGCAAGGAGCAACTGGCAGACTACAGAGCTGCAGACGTAAGTGTCCTGAATCCTCCTAGAATGAACTATTGCACCACACCCACAACATCCTCTTGCCTGGGGAGAAGGGAAAGAGAAAACAAACCATGAGCCAGTTATTTGTCTTGCTTTAACACATGCCTGGAGGGCCCCTGGATACAGCTGCAAGAGGAATTTGTATTCCAAGCAGGCTGGCTGGCTCTTCCACCTTCCAGCTCTCATATGCTTGCATGTTTTAAAAAAAAAAGAAAAAGTATAAAAAGAAGGGTAAGCAGAGCATCGACCATCATCCTCTTGGTTTTCTTGCAACACACATACACACTCCTGTCTCACCTGAAAGTCAAGCCTTAGATACAGCAGTTAAAGTGTAGCTTGGAGACCCTGGGGTTGCTCTGTAGCACTGTGATAGCAGCTCTCACCACCACAGGGCTGGGTCAGACAGACCTACACTTGCCAGACCTCAACCTGTGAATCAGACTCAGTCTCCAGCACATACCAGGTCAGCAGCATCTCAGCAAGAGGCTGTACAATATGGAACACCCCATGCAGGATCACACAGGAGCTACACATTCTCAAGGAGAGATGCTACCGTGCCAAGCTCTGCAAGGAAGGTTCCAGGGCCACTCCATACCCACAGGGCTGCACTGCTTGTTAGCACTTGTACAGTCAAACTGAACTCCTGACGAGGACAGGACATCTGCATCCTTATGGGAGCTGCAGCCCAGAGGGACTCCAAGTCCCAAGGGGAAGGGAATCCCACAACTGAGATGTACCTCACTATTCAACTGCTACCCAATCTGCCCCCAGCAGCAAACCTGGCTGTGTTGTGACATTCACAGCAATTAGCACAGAGCGCAAGAAGTTGTGGCTCAGATGCCACCACCTGCCCGGCTCAAGTTTCCCCCAGTAGCCAAGGGAGCAAAGCTCAGCTTCCACACGCTACCCCCTCGGATGGTCAAAAGCGCACTCAAACCACAAATCGAACCTAGCACACCAATGAACTACGTGTGAAAGAGCAAATTAAAATTCAAGGAGAATGAGTGTTCCTGGTGTCTCTGCTTAGATGGGACTGTCACTGGGGCATCACAACATGCCCTGCCAGCTTGGCCACCGCCTGTGCTCTCATCCGGCTGTGAATGACCTTGCAGTGAAATGAACCAGCCTGCAGTGAAAGCCATCTGTGCCTCATCTCCACCCGGATTTACAGCTATCAGTGGATCATCCCACTGTAAAAATAAAAAGTGATGGGGCCTAATGAAGCTGTAAAAAGGGACGTGAACCTTACAGTCAGCTTACACACAGGTGTGAAAATGCCAGAAGCCCTGTGTGACCCTGATCTGGAGTAAGTGCCAACAGCGGCACAGATGTGACCAGCACAGACACAGGGGTACTGCTGGCAGCTGCAGCTGCTGGGGTGGAAATCTGGCAACGGCATGGCCTCAGCTGCCACTGCCTGGAGCCCAGCCTCATTGCAGCACAGGGAGAACATGCTGAACTTGTCTCTCTACGGGGCAGTTTTGCCATGGACTTGCTCAGTCAACACAGGGTAGGAGTGCGCTGGAAGCTGTGCCTACATAAGGAAGAGAAGAAGCAGGGCCTTTAGTACAGCTTCCAGGTGAGGATGGTGCCAGCCAACAGTTAGTAACCAGCATTTCCCCATGGAGACACAGGAGCTCTGAGAGCGGGGCAGGAAGGATGAAAGGAAGATGCACCCACATGGAGCAGGTGAGGATGCATCCAGATCAGCAGAATCAGCCCATGCCGCCTTGTCTTTCCCCCTCTGCCCCATGTGCTTCCCCACATCCACCCTTCTGTCTCACCTGCACGCCAGCACAGTCACTCCTTATGTCCACTTGCAAACCGTCTCCCATGCTCTCTGCAAGGACAGTGCAACAAAGCAGCTGCTGAGCGTCCAGGAGAACTGGTGGAGATGAAGGCACCTTCACATGACAGGCTATGGCCACAACAGGGCAGCAGCTGCCACATCTCTGTGGCTCTGGGCAGGAAAAACATCATCTGCCTCAGGGAAATCCCTGCTGATTACCAGTCAGGGAAGTTTTCCCTTTACATTTAACTCAAGTCAGAGTTTTGGGGTGGAAGAAGGTCACAGCTTGATGCAATCTCTAGTTCTGCCAACGCAACCCTATGGCAAAGGAGCTGGAGTCCATTCTGCAGCTCACAACGGCAGTAAAACTACACTTTGGAATTTTATTGTAGAAACATGAGCTGGGAAAACCCCAGGATAAACTGGCCAGGCTGGAATTCAAACCCAACCAAGTAATTAATGGATTTTGGCTTGGACTTACTGACCCACAATATAGAGGCCAAAGTTGTCACTGTTGGAGTGACCGTACAGCTGCACTTGCTTACGACTATTTTGCTAGCACCTTTTATTGCCGCACAGCCTGCTCAGAGGCTTCAGGGCATCAGCTGGAGCACTGCCACAGCCTGTGCAAATGTCACATCAGGGTCACACAGGGCCACCACACGCCCTGGCCTCTGTGTACCCCATCGTATGTCAGTGAAAATCATTTCTTCCAGCCCGAGCCCCACTGTGGCATGTGCTGCCCTAATGGCATTGTGGCAGCTCTCTGCAGTCCCATTCCTAACAGGAAAGGACAAGATCATAAGAGCCCGGGTGTCACAGGAGTTTGGCTGGGGAGGTTATTTTAAACTCAGCTTGGTGACACACTTAAAATAACAAGAGCTTGCAAATGTATGCGCTTCGAGCTGACCTGATAACGGGTTGTCAGCCTCACATAGCCCAAAGTCACAAGGAGGGGAGGTTAGACAACTGTGCTTGCTATTGTTTTCTATGCCATTGCAGGGTGCAATTTCTGTTCTTTATGATTAAAAGGGATAACATGTTTTTCTAAATGAGACTCAAGTTCACACCAAGTTCCTCACTTGAAGCTCTGGGGCTTTTGTTTAAAGCTTGAACAAGCAAGTTAACAACAACACCAAACAGGTAGGTTTTAAAATGAATATATTTCAAAATAAGGGTTTGTACCCCTTTAAAAAAATTTAAAACTTTGAACAAGTCCAACACCATTGATCTGAAACCAACTGATTGAGTGTCTAAAGTTGCTCCAATACCTGGTAGCTAGGTACAAACTTGTTGTTTCAACAGCACAGAAACAGCCCTCCCCTACATCAGCTCCAGGAAACAAATTGCCTCAAGTGCAGTCACACACTGAGACAAAGCAATGTCCAACTTCACCCACAAGTTCAGGCTGAAGAGCAAAGGGTTCTGCTGGCCACAAGAAGTCATCCGTGAGGACAAAACAGCTCAGAGACAGTTTGGCCAACACAAAAATGCCAGTGGCACAGGGACCAACAGTTGTGCTGCTTTGCCACACAGTTAAGCACTGTTGTTCCCTCTCAGCTCCGGTATCATCCTGCAGAACCACATTTTGGGTGCAAAACAAGAGGATGACAATTTCTCTTTTAATCAAGACCACAAGTTTTTGCTTGGCCACTCAGGTCAAAAGATACTAGTGAGAAACCACCCACTATGGGGATGCATCAGCAAATTCCACCTGCATCCTAGGATTACATCTGTGCCCAGAATTTGCGCTGGGGCTAGTAATTTCCATTCAACAGCTGCAGTGCTGAACTGCACTCCACACTGAATAAAGGAGGTATGAGAAGTGTATGGCTGCTCAAAATGAGCCTTTACCTAAGCAGAACAGCTCCAGTGTTCACTCCCATTCCCGAGGTGGAGGCAGACCTCCTTAGGGGCAGCAGGGTGCTGGACCAAGCCGTGGAAGAGCTGGAATCCAGCCACGACCTCACCCTGTGCTGCAGCAAATGCCTCCCTCCATGCACACACAGGCTGGGCTGGGGACTGAAGGCTCTTGTCTTTGAGTTCACAAGGGACTTTCCCACCACTCTCAGGGCACTGGAGCACAGTGCCAGATGATGTGAAGGACTCCAGCATCGTTAGGCAGACAATCCAGGGCTGCAGCTTTGCCATGGAGAGAGTGCACCAGGGACATCTAAAATAAAGGGCTGTCTCAGTGCTCACACCAGGAGGGCTGACCTGGCTGTGACCAGACAGTGTGCGGGCCATAGCAAAGGCCAAAAGGTGCAGGGTATGGAATCCCCCAAGGATATCAACTTTTCTCCCTGGCAGATTCCCCAGGCCCCAAAGTGGACACGCTGCACAATGACAGTGGACCACGAAGCTCTGTTTCTCCAGCAGTGAAGCTGGGAAGTGCCTGTCCTTGCTCCCATCCCTGATTTATTCTTTCTAATCGTATGGGCTATGGGACCAGTTGTACCACAGTGTAAAACAAGAGTAGGGAAGCGAGTCTGGGTTAAAAGCGACAAGCTAAACCATGGGGTGTTTAACAGCATTTCACCAAGGAGGTCTAAAGCCCCTTCCTGAAGATTCAAACTGAAGGGACAGCAACTGAGTTTCATGATGGGAGAAAAAGTACAGGAGAATTACACAGCAAGACTTGTGAAGACTTTGGCCACCAGTGCAGGAACTGACAGGTGGTCAGCACAGCTCCGTCTGGTCTTAGGCAGTCTGGCCTTTAGTAGAGAAATAAAAGTGGAAGATTTTGAGCGAGTGGAACAAGTATAAAATATCAACACAGAGCAATGAGACAAGAACTACTCAATTAGTTCAAAACACATAAATTCTTTGTCCATCCTCTGCTCTTGATACTTTTTACTGAAACATATCTACAACCAGAAAAAAAGGTTCCCAGGTTTGTCTTTCAAATATATGCTGAGGACACTTCCAAGTCCATGACAGGAGTGGGAAAAATTCCTCTGGAGGCACTGCAAAAACCTCACTCCATACAGCAATCTCTCAGAGCTCAGGAGTGGAGAAGAAAGAGAGATTGAAGTTGAGAAGAAGCTGCCAAATACTCACAGACTTGATGCCCGGGACAAACCTAGGAAATGCCAAGGAGTGACACCCAGCCAGAATGGCACAGCAGCCAAAGTGCGCGACCTGTGTCGGTGACACGACATCACGCAGGCACCATTATCTGGGGACAGTGACATTTGTCCCCTCAGCTCCTCCTCAAAATGTGATCCCTGCTGTGCTGAGAAGGGCCCCAGGCATGAGTGAGGAGTGGGAGGGGCCAATCTGTATCAACAAACTTCACCTAACACAAAAGTTAACGACTGCAGCAAGGCAGCAATGCAAGAACAGAGTGCTACTATCTGCTGGGTACAAACACTAAGAATCAAGGAAAATTTATTAGATAAAACTCTAATCAGACCAACAATTCACTGTTAATTCCCACAAACTGTTCAGAAGCCACTAGATGTCACCTGCTTGTTCAGTGAGCAACATACCACAATGAGCAAGAGAAGTAGCATCTCAGGGAGTCATGGAGGTAGGGTTTTGATGTGGAGCTGAACTCTGCCTCCCATGAGCTACCCACAGCCCAGCTAGGCAGGGTGACAGGAGGCTGGAACAGTGCTACAGGGCTTTACACACCTGTGCCCCTCATTCTCAGCCCAGACCCTGGAGGCATTCAGGAAACACTCCAGGCTTGTTTCAACTCAGCTCTGCCTTTCGCCTGTCAGACCCATCGGCTTCTTTTTACAACACAAGAGCTGTCAAGGCAAGACCCCAATGGAAGGACGAACAGCCAGGCTGCCCCAGTGCCCCACTCCGACCTGGTCAATCCCAGCTCCAGCCTCACAGCTGCTCCAAGTGCCGTTGGAGAGGTTCCCTGAGGCTGTGGCTGGCTGGGGAGCCAGCTCTACTCAATCCCTGCCACTCGCCCGGGGAATACGCTCTGTGTCTCATTTCTTCAAGTGAAAGTCTTTGAGGCCAAAGGTGCTACCAGGATGCTCTGTACTGCTCCAGGACGGCCTGACAGGCCGCCAACCCCAGCATTTCCCGCCACAGAGTGCTCCCGAGTGGGGAATGGAACAAGGCCACGGCCAGCCCCGCGAGGAGACCCGGGAGGGAGCACGATGCCTCCTCGGGGGCCGGGAACGGTGGTGGGGCAGGAGGGGCGGAGGAAGGCAGCGGGGGGCCAAAGGTAGTATGGCCCGGTGGAGGGACCCTGCGGGTGGCACTCAGGGAGACACGCATGCCCGGGGGAGCAGGGCCCCGGTGCCGGGGGGGCCCCGCCGTACTCACCGCCCGCCGGACCCGCCGGACCCGCCGCCGCCGTTACCATGGGGAGCCGGCAGGCCCACGTGACTACACCTCCCGGCAGCCCCCGCGCCGCAGGCTGCATCGCCCCCTGGCGGCGCGGCGGAGCGAGCCCCGGGAGCCGCCGGGAAACGGGCGCTTCCTTAAGGAACGGGCGGGTTTTTTTTCCAAGACCGGCTTCTCCCGGGGGGCGCCCCGGATAAAGCTGACCGGGCAGGGTCCCCCTCGGGCGGACAACGCGGGTTCCACGGAAGGTCGGGCTGGGGCCCGAGGAGGACGAGGGAAGCGCCGGTGCCGTGCCGGGATGCCCGGGCGTCACCGCTCGGCGCCGGTGCCGGGCGGCAGCCGGCGGGGACACGCGGGACCGGGCACGGCTGCGAGCCGGCGAAGGAGTTCCTCGCAATGCCGGGCATGAGGCGGCCGGGGGCTGCCGCCAGCCAGCGCGGCCAACCTGTCGGGGGCTCCGAGGGACAGCAGCACCTGCGGAGCCAGGAGAAGAACAGGAGTCACCCACCAGCACGGCTCCTAGTCCCCACAGCACCAGGAGTCCCCCGTCCAGTACCTGCTGGATCCCGGGGTGCTCGCTGAGGACCCGCAGCGCCACGAGGGCTCCCTCCCGCACGCTCTCCCAGGGGTCCTGGCAGGCCACCTGCAGCAGGAAGTGGGGGGCCCTGCTCTGGATCAGCAGGTCGCCCAGCTCTGCCCCGCGCTGGCCTAGGTTGCTCAGGGCCAGGGCCGCGTTGCAGCGCGTCTTCGCCTGCAGGTCGCTGAGCAGCCGGGCCAGCGCGGGCACGGCCTTGCGCAGGGTCCCGGCCGGGCAGGACGCGTGGCCGGCGGCGTTGCCCACAGCAAAGCTGGCTGCCTTGCGCACGCTGCCCTCCGCGTCCGACAGGCACCCCAGCAGGCTCTCCAGCCAGCCGGGATGGCTCTGCAGCACCGCAGGAAAGCCGTGTCGGAGCAGGTTGCCCAGCAGATTGCAGGTTTTGGCCCGTATCAGGTATTGCTGGTGGCCGAGCAGGTAGGTCAGTGGCTGGTCAGCCACATCCAAGCCCCTCAGGATCCTCTGGAGAAAGGGCAGATGCTCCGAACAGGCCCGGGCCACGTGGGTCAAGAGAGACAGGAGGTCAGTTGTGAGTGTGAGGTTGTCTGAGAACAAGGCAGATTTGAAAAAGGCAATTACATGCTCCGAGGTGGCAGCTTCCCTCACCACTTGGTCTATGACCTGAGTGTCAAACACAACGAGGTGGCACAAGAGGCTCATAGGGAGCTCCGTGAATGAGAAGGGCAGATGGCGAGAGCAGACCTAAGGAGAAAGGAAAGACAGCAGTGCTGAGTGTGCTGCACTTGTGTGAGCTGAGCCAAGCCAAGCAACAGCTGAAGGTGGCCAGCAGGTCAGTGCAGGCCAACCTGTTCTGAGGGTTGCATGGCACCCAAGTGACATCCCTGTGTGGGCAGAAACTGACACCATGGTATGAAGTGGTGCCACACATTGGGGGCTGCAACGTGGGGAGGTGTCTCCACAGTATAGGGGAGAAGAAAAACAGTGCCAAGAAGATACCTGCAGCAGCTGGGCAGGGATCTGGGTGTCTCTCATAGCCTCCAAGATCAGTGCTAAGGTGTCTTTATCCACATCCAGGGCAAAAGGGAAACAGAGGAGCTGGCAGGCCTGGATGACCACAGCTGGGATAACCTCAGGGTCCCCATCCTCTCCTGCTTGCCTGAATTTGTTAGAGAGAGAGAGAGAGAGAGAGGGTTTAATACAGAGGTAATCAGAAAAACAACAGGGCAAGAGGCAGAGGGCATTCCCCACACCAGGCACTAAGGAGAGGCTCTGCAAGTGCCAGGTCAGGAACTTCTCTGCCCTTGGCTTGCTTATGTCCAAGCCCCATTCAGTAGGTGAGCTCTGCCCACTTCAGCCCTTGCCACAACTCACGTCTGTGCCAGGCATTCCAGGAAGCTGGGGGACAGCAGTCTCTTCAGGGTCACCATGAGGACACCATGGGACTGGGTGAGCTGAGGCAGGCACTGGTGCGACTCACGAGTGAAGATGCAGAGGGCCAGGCTGAGGAAGAGCAGGGTGCCTGCAGGGAGAACAACAGGCAGAGATGCAAAGCTAGGGAAGGCTGAAAAGTCTCCTCTCTTGTGTCTGTACTGCCTCAAGGCTGTTCCACGGTTACTTCTGTGCTTCCCTGCCCGAAACCAAAAAATCTCCACCCCAGTGATCACATCTGCCAGGGTGAACGTTCCCTGCAGCACAGATACCCTTTTTGTTCCTCCACAGCCAGCTCAGCTGAGCTGCTGCCAACTGGGCACAGCATGGGCCAGCCAAGTCCTCTCTCCCCAGAGGACAATTTGCAATCCTCAAGAAAAGCCACCTGGGCCCTCTAGCCTCAGGGAACAGATGCGGACAGGGACAGACATGGGCAAGTCTGAGAGCAGGATGTGGAGCAGGGTCCAGGGCGGATGTCCTGCTGTCCTGCAGCTCCTACCTTGAGGGGAAAGGAGGTTCCAGTCTGGCTCTGCCATGGGGTGGCCTGCCCCTGGGGGCTCTCCCTCCAGCGCTGCCCTGTCACTGCCCACTTGAAGCACCACAGCAACACAATGCCAGACCAGGCTCCACAGCTCTGAGGAGGCAAAGCCCTGCTCCATGGCCACATCCTCCTAGAGTTAGAGGCAGATATCATGGTCCCTTATGGGCCCCCATGTGGTTCTGGTCCATGGCTCTGCCAGCCCCTTGGTCCTGGGAAGGTCAGGGCTGGATGGCCACGGCCCAGGGGCCCTGCTGTACCTGCCAACTGTGTCAGTCCCAGGGCATCTCTGCCTTCTCTCTCCAGTGTGCCCATGGATCATCCCTCCCTGCCTACCACTCTCCCATCAACTCTTCAGGGACATTAGGTGACTTTCATGGGGTTGCACAGCTCAGCCAAAGCTCCACAGTTCTCTGGCTTGCCTCAACCTCATTACCAATCCACATTCAGGTCTTTTTGACACCCCACCTTTTGGCAGGGATGAGGCAAAGGAAGATGGGCAGACTGGTACCTGAGCGAGGAGTTTCAGCAGGAGGAAAAAGAGCCCATCATAGAGACCAGCACCCCTTGGCAGGGGGAGCTGCAGCTGTAAGAGAGTGGGGGACAAGCTGGATCTGGGTGCTGGATCTGAGGGCAGCAGCACCACACCTGCACCCTTCTGAGCCCATCTTTGCACACCTCCACAGTGGGGTGTGCATGGCTCCCCAGCTTCTTTGTCCCCATCCCATACCTTAGCAGGTGTTGTCAGCGCATTTGTCACCACTGGTAGGACCTCTTCTCCCTTGAGCTCCAAGGCCACCCCATGCTGATTGAGTTGTGCCAGGAGGAATGCTGCAGCACCCTGTGGGACAGGGAGAGCTCAGCACCTTTGTGACTTTCCCATCTACTTGGTCAGTATTGACCCTTCATCCCACGGCCTCATCCCACCCTGAGTGAGGAATGGTGAGACCCAAATGTGATGTAGGGCTCTGCAGGGCTCTCAGTGGTGGCTCTGGTATGGGGGGCAGCTTACCACAAGGCAGACAACAGGAGATTGCGTGATGAGGTCCACAGCCAAGGTAACCACCTCCTCAAGCCTGAAACACGGGGACCAGGAGAAAAGTGCTATGTTCCCACAGCTTCACACAGTGCAGAGCAGCAGCATTCAAACACCCCCAGGGCTTGGAAGCAGCCATCTTCAAGGAGGAGCCCTGGTTCACAGCACCTCTTTGTCCACACTGGGTCCTCTCACTGCATCCCCAACACCCACCCACACTGCCCAGCACTCTGCTGATGTGTCTGGATTGGAGAGATCGGTGGAAGCAGGATCCCAGCTCTGGGCAGAGTGAGAGACAGAGGGCTATTGAGGGCAGGGCATGTTCCTCTCCCACCCATGAGTGAAAGCAGGTGCTTACCTGGGAGGGGAGGCCTGAAAGTGCAGAGTGAGCAGGGCTAGCAGGCACACAGAGGCCTCACAGGCTGCCTCCTGGGCCACCTCCACCAAGGGGACCTGCGAAGGGAGCAGGAGTCACAGTGGAACACCAAGGGTACAAGGGGAGGAGGGGATGTTTTTGGGCCCTGGAGGAGAACTGCACTCTCCTAAACTCTTCTCCCCACACTACAGTGGTGCAAACTGTGCTCGGAGGAATGTGTCCTGCTTGCCCACACTCCTACCCCACCACCCCACCAGGCTGTGGTCAGTCCTACCTCACCCTTCAAGAGCTGCATGAGGAAACCCCACAGCCGTTGGCTCCTTCCCAGGTGCTGGCACAGGCTTGGATGGGCATGGCAGCCAGCATAGAGGATCTGTGAGGCAAAGGGGAAAAATGCATACCAACCCCTGGGGACAGGAACAAAGTGACCAGGCCCACTCCAGTCATATCCCATGGCTACCATGGGCTCATTTATTCAACAACTGACATCAGGCAGATGGGAGTCATTAAGGCCTGAGCCCACAGTTCCCCCTTCCCCATACTCCTAATTCCAGAGCCAAGGTGTCTCTGGGCACAGCCAGATAAAAGGATGGGGCCATTACCTTCAGTATGTTCAAGGAGCAGCTTGAGTGCTCCAGTCTTCCCAGCAGTTTCCCAAGCTGCTGGCTCTCTCCTTCCATAAGCTTTTCAGCTATTGCCTGAGCGACCTGCAGAAATCAGCCTGTTTTGCACCCTAGGCACCTGAAGCACTGCACAGACTTAAGGAGTTTAATGCTAGCAGCAAATGAATGAAAGAAGGCATTTGCTTCCTATGTGTTGCTTGTGTTCACAAAGGGATCCCCACCTGCCGTAACCCAGTATGGCTTTGATGCACAGACCCAGAGCTAAGCAAGGTGAGATTCCTCCTCTGCTTCCCTCCTTGTTGACTCAGCGTTGAGGTAAAGAATCAAATATTAATCTGTAGTTGTTTTCCCTCTTATTGTCCATTCAATTTCAGATTTCCTACAGTTTATATCACTGTCATATAAGAATTCTTCATGTTTTCTCTGTATTGCCTAGTTCTTTACTTAGGATCTGAACTGTGAGATGGGCTAAGTTTAAGTCTCTCAACTGATTTAAGAATCCTTAGATTCCTAAAGCTCAGCTGGGAGGACCAGCCTGCAAAAGCCAGCCCTGCAGCCATCAAAGGCACAGGATCCCAGCCCTCCACTCCACTGCTGAGAAAGAAATCCTCCTGGAAAGGGCTACTGCCCTGTGGGGACCACACCTCCTCACCCTGTACAGAGAGCTTGTCTGACCTGCTGCTTGGCTTCCCGACAGCTGTTCCTCTCCAGGGGGATACTGCAGGCAGCAGCCAGTGCAGCCATGAAGAGGTCTGCCACACATGGGCTCTGGTCTGACTTGGCCTCCATCGCTGCACCTACACAGGGGCAGAGCTTGGGAGTCATGTGCTGAGGGTGTTGAGAGGCAGCAGGATGAGGTGGGAGGGCAAGAGAGGAAAAGCTTATGACATGACGAGGGTGAGATCTGAGATTAAGGGAGAGAAGAGCCCTGGTCAGTAGGGGTCTGGGCAGATAAGCTTCAGCCACCTTCTCTGGCCAACAGCACTGCAATGGCTGCCAGTGCTCTGATGGAGCCCAAGAGCAAGAGAGAGAGAAGGGAAACCCCAGGAAGAAGTGGTGAGCTGCTACCATGCTACCTCGCAGAGCAGGCTGCTCTGAGATGGATCCGCGAAGGAGTCTGTTCAGCAGTGGCTGATGCTCCTCTCGCAGGCTGGCGTAGAAGGGTGCAGAGATGGAGGGGTCTGTCGCATCCAGGCTCTCACAGAGCTGGGTGAAGCACTGGGGAAGACACAGGGGTTGCCACCACTGCAGAATGAATGTGGGAGGAGAGAGAGAAGGACAGCGCAGGAGGAGGCTGTGGCAGGACAGCAGAGATGGGAGAAGGACTCGTGCTGGAGCTTCAGGAACCTCCAACTGTCCTCTCCAGCCAGGTTACAGTATGGGACCCACATTTTGGCTGCATGCTGGCAAAGTGAGGGGTACACGTGGAAGCATGTGTCCCTCCACACCTGTCACAGCCTGGCAGAGCACACCCAACGCATTACCCAAGAGCAAGAGCTCTTTTTACTCTTGCTTCCTCTGGCTCTAAAACATACAGCCTGAAAAAAAAAGACTAAAAGCAAGATGATACCAAATACAAGCCTGTATACATCTGCTGCCTGAGTCACATGTGAATCATACTCCAACACTGTGCCCACCCAGCACAATCCCAGCAGCAGAGCTTTCAGTAGCAGAACAAGGGACACATCTGGTGAAGTGACACTGCCTGGCCACAAGGCCATTTGTGCGAGGGTGTGTATCAGGGACTGCACTTGCTGTTGGCTCAGCCAGTAAAGCTACCCCAGAATGGCAGAGCCAGGGAAGGTGCCCCCTCAGAGACCTCCTTTCTGTATGCAATCCCCCACAGTGGGTGAGACAGTGGGTAACACAGCCTGCCCTGACGAGAATGCATCAGACCCATAGCTAGGAGAAGGGTCCTCAGCCTGCATCCCCTCGACATTACAGAGACAGCCCCACACCTTCTGTCCCTACAGAAAAGGGTGGGGAGGAGGGAGATGGGGGCACCCTTACCAGGAGGCTTTGCTGGCAGAGTCTCATCTCACTGTCGACTGGCTCAGCCAGCAGCTCCGGCAGCAGGGCCAGGAAGCAGCCAGCACTCTCCTGGAAGGTCTGCAGGCTGGGGGAAGCAGCAGGGGCAGATGAGAGTGGAGAATCATGGCCCCTGGTTACGAGGGCAGGATCTGGCCAGGCCCATGTGGCCCTGGCTAATGGGGCAGGCAGCACGCACTCACACTGTGAGCTTCTGTTAGTGGGCAGCACAACTGGACTGTGTGTCCACTGACTGTGGACAGCACAGCTGCCTTCCCCTTAGTTAGTCCCACTGAAGGAAAGCGCTCCTCTGTGAGCACAGCAATCTGGCATGAGGTGCTTAGTCCATGATGCTTCCCCTCAGAGATGACTCTGGCTGCAGAGTATGAACACTACCCTCCTGCTTACTGCTGGTCCCCCAAAGTGGCCACAAGAGACCTCAGGGCACAGAAGGTTGTCCTTACCTGTCCTTTTGCCCACTCTCCTCCAGGCTGCGTTCACTGCTGAAATAAACCGTGGTCACCATGAGGAGGTCTGTCAGCACAGTGATACACCAGGGCTGCTGCAGGATCCAGAAAGAAACAGAAAGTGGGGATTGTCTGCTGGCCATCCCCACACCACTGTGATAGGATCCTTCCCTGCCAGAACCTTTCCCTTCTCAAGGATGCTTGGAAGAGGCACCAGTCCTGTGAGCCAGCTCCAGCAGGACACCAGCGCCTCCTCAGCACCAGCACTCTGCAGGGCTGGAAGGAGCCTGAATTTCTCTGGGGTCCTATACCCACCTGCTTGGTGCAACCACTCTCCAGGATCTGCTTGGCTAAACACAGCAGGGACAGAGGCACATTCAGTTCTTGGCAGAAGTGGTCCAGCAGCTCAGAGTCACACCGGGTAGCCAGGAGGTTCCCCACGACACGAAGCACAGGACGGAGATAGGAGGCGCCCTCCAGCATCCCTTCCAGCACCTGGACATGGAGAAGCCAGAAGAGCTCATAATTAGCAGCGGTTTTGGCCTCTCCATCAGCCATGGAGCAGCCCCTCAAGCATTCATGCAGGGGACAGCAGAGTCGCAGATGGCAAGCTAAGTGCATAAGACAGCTCCAACTCCTGGAGAAGCAGGGGATCTTTTTGCTTGCTGGACTAAGAACTCTCCAGATGTTCCAAACCCAATCCTGGGGAAGAAGGCGGCATCCATGTCACCAGTTACAGCTGTCTGGGCCAGCTTACTGCCATTACTTACCTGCTGAGCAGAGTCTGCCAGGCAGTCCTTGACACGGTGCTGAAAGGCTGGGTCCCTCAGGAGGCTCAGAGGTGTGCTCAGCTGCATGGCCGAGGGCTCAGTGGCCTCAATCAAGTGCTGCCACTCCTCATCGCTCTCCAGCTCCTAGCCATGGAGGAGAGAGGACTGATGCCACAGACCCTGCCAGTCCCAGGGTCTCTGTACCAGCCCCTGGAGACTAGGTCCTGGTGTCCCCACCTCAAGACACTGTCTTACCTCACTCTCCAGGTCCACGGCCTCAATGCTGCGCCTGCCCCAGGGCTCTGCCCTGCCAGCATCAGGCTGTGGAGAGGCACCTGCTCCAGGAAACTCCCGCTCATAGTCTCGAGAGATGCTGTGCTGGCTGGCCAAGGAAACAACACAGTCAGTGAAAGACCTTTCTTCCCCCTTTTCTTCCTGCCCCAGCCTCAGCCCTCTCTCACCATGGGTCAGGAAGAGACTCCTCCAATTCCCACTCTGCCATGCTGCTCTTTCCTTGCAGGAGACCAGAGTTATTCTCATTGGAGGCAGCCAGTGGCTCCCCCTCCTCAGGGGCTGCCTTGCCTGGACCTGCTCTGGGTCTATGCCTGGGGTGTCCATTGCCAGAGTCCTTCATAGATGCATCACCTGCCTTCAGTTGCCCCTGATGGTGGCAGAGAAGTTTGGTCAGGGCAGTTAATCAGACAGATGAGTCTCCTAGACCCTACCACCCTGTGCACCCCACATCCCGCTTTGTGTGTCACTGACACCCCAGCCTGACCCATGTACTCATGTGTTTCCCCCAGGGCCCATTTCAGTGCTCCTCCTCTGCCCCGACTGTGGGACACAGCCGGGAGAACCCCTCAATTTCCTCCACCTTTTTCTGTGCCTCTTCAACCATCTTCCGCTGGGCCTTTCTCAGGATCCTGGACTGGCTGCTCCTGGGGACCAGGGAATGGGCTTGCTGTTCCTTCAGGGCCTGCAGTTCTGGGGACAGCTTTGTGGTAAAGGGGTTTGAGATCCCATGCTCTTCTGTGTCATCGATCACTGGGGAGGTGAGAGGAGAACTTCATAAGCAGCTAGGAGTCAGTGCTTGGAGAAAGCTGAGAGGAGGGAGGCAAAGACTAGGATAGTAAAAATAGCAGGGAAGGGCGGTCCTCTGAGTCTCCAGGCAGTAGGAGGAGGAAATGGACCTGTCCAGTGCTGCAAAAAGCAGGTACTCACCAGTAACCCGTCCAGCAATGAATGGGTGAGAGAGCAGCTCTGGCCATGACAGACGCTGGTGGGGGTCCTTCATTAGTAGTCCCTGAAGGAAGCTCTACAAGACAACAGGATCACTGAGACATGTTGAGCATGCACCAGTGTGCACAGCGTACCCACCAGTCTCCCCCAGTGAGGGCACCCAGGAGGCCTGCCTTCCCTGCCTGGCTCTGGGAAACGAGTAGCTCTAGTGCTTAGGGCAGACAGGAAGACGTTCCCCTTCCCAGTCCAGTAAATCACTCCTTTGCTGTTGGCCCCAGTTTTCCAGCTTATGGACAGCAGTGATAAGGGTCCGCCTCCCAGGAGGCCCAGTTCTCATCCCTTGTCTATGTTCCAAAGTCCCTGTTAGGGGCATGAAAGCTAAGAGTGACTCACCAGGGCAGCAAGCAAGGCCAAAGCTGTATTAACAGAGCTCACCCTGCACATAGGGCCTTCGCCCTTACCTTGAACACCGGGCTCATGGCCGTGGGCCATTTGACAGGGTCCTTGACGATGAGGCTGACAAGCTGGAAGATGCTGTTGGTGTAGAAGGGAGGAGTGCCCACAAACAGCTCGTACAGGATGCAGCCCACAGACCAGAGATCTGCTGTGTGGTCATACGGCCGCTCCTCCACCAGCTCAGGGGACATATACAGTGGGGTGCCCTTGATGGAGGTCAGCACCATGGTATGGATGCTCATGGCACGGGCAAACCTGCTCAGAGCAAAGCACAGATGGCAAGTTCAGGCTGAAACATCCATTGCAGCTCCCAGGGAGTTCCCTATGAGTTTACCAACACTTCTTCCCTCTGGAGGACAAAATCCTCCCTCTCTGCTTAACCTCTAAATATCCACAGAATCCGGCCCCCTTCTGCACCTCTTGGCTGCCTTAAGGCCAAGTGTCCCCCTCAAGCTGGCCCCCAGCACTCACCCAAAGTCACAGAGCTTGACAACACCATCTTTGCCCAGAAGGATGTTCTGGGGTTTCATGTCTCGGTGCAGGATGCGGTGGGAGTGCAGGTAATAGAGAGCAGAGACCAGCTGAGCAGCGATGGTCTGGACCTGCCAGAGACACGGGAGCCTCACACTGTGTCCCACGGTGCCACCCGCTGGCACAACCATGTCCCTAACAGCCTGGCTCCCCCAGTACCCCTACTTCTGCTCTTGGCCTCTTGGGGCAGGGACCAACCCCAGCTGTGGGCCAGCAGTTCCTTGGAGTAGGCCAATGGCCAAGGCAGCAGTCTGGTGCTGTAGCCCTTGGAGAGGGAACAAGGAAACCAAGGTCCCTGCAGGACCCCACTGTCCCATGGTGCAACTTAGCTCCCTCTTCATCCTTTTCAGAAACTCTGCCAGGTAAAGCTCCGGAGGCACCCTCACCCTCCTGACACGTCCCGGCTCACAGCAGAGACCCTCTGCCTGCAGGCAGACAAATCCTGTTCTCTTCAACCTGCAAACACTGCATGGGCACCACCATGACAGTCACCTGGTCCTCAGGCAAACTCCCATCGTCCTCCAGGATCTGGAAAAGCTCCCCCTCTGCATAGTCAGTCACCACCACCACCTGGAGGGAAGAGCAGCATGGTGAGATAAGGCCCTGGGGACCAGGACAGAGCAGAGTAGGAAGTCTGAGGGGGGTGCTGGGTTGTCATTGTGCACAGTCCATCACCTTGGGTTGGGACCTGGGATGGAAGAGAGCCCTCATGGCTGCACTGCAGCAAGGGCCTGGCACTTAGCAGAGGTCTTGTATCTTGTACAGCCAGCAAAAACAAGGGAAGAGGGAAGGATAGGACAAACCTAGAACAGTACTCCCAAACCCAGTAAATAGAATCACTCCCTTGAGCTTGTTTTGAATGCTGCCCAATTACTTTATTTCATGCCCTCATGCCCCATTGCACAGTCTTCAGTCCTTTTATCCTATTACCTCCATGAGAGTATAAATCAGTGAAAAGCCAGTCTCTGAAAAGACTGATGAGATGACTGAAGAGTCATCCTCATCCTGTAATCTTAAACCACTCATCTTGCATTCCCCTAGTCATCTCCTTCTCCTCTGCATATAACCTAGTGCAGCCCACACAGCACATCCCAGAGGGCTCTGAAAAACACTAACCAGACCCTGGGATGGTGTCACCAGCAACTCCCGAGAAAAGATGTCGCCAGGACAGCAGGGACCAGCCCTTGTTCCCCTGGCCCAGTCGAGCAAAAGCATTTGCCCAGAGTAGTCCCCTTCACCTCCTTATCAGTCTCAAAGCTGTCAAGCATCTGGATGATGTTGGGGTGATGGAGGCCTCTCATGATCTCAATTTCTCTTTGCAGGTTCTTCAGCTCCTTCTCAGACCGCCCCACCTTGGGGATGAACTTCAAGGCCACCACCTTTTCAAGTAGGAAAAGCTGGGATTAGATCAGGCTTCTGGTCAAGCCCACCCTGGCAAAGGCTGCTTTTAACCGTAATCGGACTCTGCACTTTCCAGCTGAGCACACTGAACAAGACATTTGTTGAATGGACCACTTGGAGCTGGGGCTCTCCTCAGGTCCTTGCACATAAGTACTGGTGTTCACACTACTTTTCACACTGGTATTTAAGGCAAAGGTCAGTGAACACAGATAAAATCAGGACTTCCAGAAACATGGGACAGAACCTAGAGATGCTGGTGGACAGCAAGCCTAACATAAGCCAGCAGTGTGCTCTGCAGTGAGGGGCACTGGCAGCACCCTAGGCTAAAGAAGCTGCAGGGAAGTGATTATTGCCCTTTATTTGGAACCTTCTAGACCACGCTGGCAATATTGTGGCCAGGTTTTTGGCCCACAAAGACATCAGGAGCTGGCCAGGTATGTCAGCAGAAACCCGAATCAGTGCTGAGTCCCAAAGGCCTGGCACAGCCTTAGAACCAAAGAGGTACCAGAAATCAGCCCCCGGCACCACAGAGCAGACCTCCGGTCCTTTCCCCTCACCTGGGCGCTGTGTTTCCGGCGCCCCTTATACACGCGCCCGAAGGAGCCTTCGCCGATCATTTCCAGGACGTGGTACCGCTCCATCGCTCGGGCCGGGGCCGCTGAGCTGCCGAGGCAAAGCGGATGGTGAGGAGCAGCGCTTCGCCCTCTCTCCCCCCGCCACGGGCTGCCATGGGGCACCGGCTGCAGCCGCGACGGAGCCGGGCAGTGCCAGCGCTGGGAAGGCAGCGCTGCACCCCTTGCGATCCCAGATCCCGAGGGACGGGGCTTTCCCACTCACCGCGGTGCTGCACCGGGGGCCGGGTCCCTTGGGCGGGTATCGCCCTCCCCACCCTCACGCCAGGCTCCGTCCCTGCCCACCGGCTCCAGGGCAGGACAAGCCCCGAGCCCCGGCCGATGCCCCCGCAGCAACCCTGGGGTTGGACGGGCCCTGCCGATGCCCCGCAGCAATCCCGCGGTGGGACGAGACGGGATGGCCCTCACCCCGCTCCGCTCCTGCCCCACACCCGCCGCCGCCGCGCCGTCGCTTGGCAACGCGCTCCCCGCTTCCGCTTCTGCTTCCGCTTCCGGAGCGAGCGGGACGATGGCGGCGGCCGGGGAAGAGGCGGAGGCGGCGGACTGGTAACACCCCTCGCACCTTCCTCGGGCCCCCGCGATCCCGCACCCCCCGGCCAGTGGGGCCGTCTGACCCCTGCCCCGTCGGTCCCTGCAGGGTGCTGCTGCCGGAGCTGGAGGTGCTGGAGTCCATCTACCTGGAGGAGCTGCGGGTGGCGCGGGGCCGCGGCAGGTACGTCCCGCGTCCCACATCCCCGGCCCGGCCCGGCCCGGCGCCGCCCCGCTCACCCCGGCCTGCCCCTCCTCCAGGTGGGAGCCCTGGGAGATCAGCATCACCCTGCACCCCGCCACGGCCGAGGACCAGGACTCCCAGTACGTCCGCTTCACCCTGGTGCTCTCCGTGCCCCCGCAGGTAGACTGCCCGCCCCCTTCGCCCCTGCTCCTCCCCGCCCAGGGCCTCTCCACCTTTCCTGTTGTGCTTTGGGCGTTTCTCTTTTTTTTCCTAGTATCCTAATGAAACTCCGGAGATCTCCATCAGGAACCCGCGGGGCCTGTCAGATGAGCAAATTCAAAAGTGAGTGCCAGGAGGGCAGGGAGAGGGCAATCCTTTCCTCCAGAGATCCAGGAGGCAAAACTTATGGAAAACCCTTCACTAAATCACATGACATCCCATGTCTGGTTAGTGGATGGATACAGGTCCCTAAATCTCTTTGTCCTAAATCTCATGGGAGCCACTGCTGCTGAATTTGACACCAAGGGGTCCACCCTGTAGTTGTTGCCCTGTGGTCCCCTTGAAATGTAATCTGAATCCCTGGTGCCTTGGAAGCTGCTGGTCCTGCTCTGACAGAGGTGGGACTGATTCAAGCAGCCTGTTGTTGCCTTTGTGCTCCGGTCCTTGGTGCAGTGGAATGTGTTGCCAGCGGCTCCCACCACACCTGCTCAGGGACTGCCATCAGATAAACAAAGCCTGGGATTCACCAAAACTGAGCTCAAGCTGAGGCCGTCAGCAAACCTGCTCCTTCAAATCCTGTCAAAGGCTTCCTGTGCACCAGCTTGTGGGGAGCCAGGACAGCACATGAATATGTGTGTGCACCTGTGCCCATCCTGTGCTCCAAGCAAAGCCTGAAGGCCAGTGCTCTGTTTGTTCCTCATGTAACCATGGCGGGATGGCAGGTATGTGGGACAGTGAAAAGGTGTAGCTAAATTTGTGTTAAGCATTTCTGCTGCTTTGCTGTAGGATTTCCCAGACCCTCAGAAGTGTTGCTGAAGCCAGGCTGGGGACAGAGGTGCTCTATGAACTCATTGAGGTGAGAGTTGGGGGAAGTTGGGGGTTACCAGCCACAGACACTGGTCCCTGGCCGCCCATGGGGTCGGGAGAGCCCTGAGCACATGTGCAGGCCGGTGAGTAAAATGTTTGCTTTAATGCTTCCACAGAAGGGGAAGGAGATTCTCACTGACAACAACATTCCTCATGGACAGTGTGTGATCTGCCTTTATGGATTCCAGGTAGGCATGTGTCTCCTGGCCCTGCAAGCTGACTGGGAAGTGAGGCAAGAGAACGGGGAGCCTGGGGTTGGAATATCAGCCTGGGGCCAGGGTGCACCCCAGCAGGCCCCTGCCCCCATTCTGTGGGTGATCCGCCTGCACGTGGGCCTTCGGAGGGCGATACACGCTACTCTCCCCATCGGCCTGAAATAATCATCTACAGAAATGGCACAGGGGCAGCAAGATATGCCAGAGCATCTCCCAAGAAGTGGGTAGGGTCTGAGGATAGTTGCTGGTGTATCTCAGCTTCCCTGTATAGGTCATACCTCACCTGGAGTTCAGCACACAGGTGGTCAGGAGGGACTGGAACACATCCACGTGTGATGGATACTGAGGTCTGTGAGGGCCGGGGAGCTGATCTTGTGTGAGTTGCAAGGAAAGTCAATGCCTGCCTAGGAAGGAGAACACATCAGATGGGAAGATTGCTGCTTACACAGAAACACACACAGAGAAATCAGTCATGAAAACTTTGCATCATGACATTAGGAGTGTTTCTAACACTTGAAACAAGGAGCAGCATCCCAGTATTTGCTGAAGAAGTGGAGATGAAGCTGAGCAGATGTTAGGTGGCTGTAGTCAGCACTAGTTTCCCACTGCCACCGCTGACATGGAAGTGAAAACCTACCTCAGCTGGGGAGGCTACACAACCCTGTGCTAAGAAACCCTTCAAAGCTGCCCTTCTTGACAGGAGAGAGAAGCCTTCACAAAGACCCAATGCTACCACTACTTCCACTCCCACTGTCTGGCCCGCTATGCCCAGCACATGGAGGAGGAGATCCTCATGCAGCAGGAGGAGAGAGATCAACACCTTTCACCATCTCCCAAACAGGTACCAGGCCCTGGGCCCCCTCCCCTCGCCCCCTGCACAGACCCTCATGACATCTGTATCACCCTCTTTGGGACACGGAATGAGGGCTAGTGTGACCCGGCAGCACAGTCAGTTTTGTACCTGTGCTGAGAATCAGAGCAGGGATTAGACCAAGCGATCTTCAAGGACCCTTTCCAACCAAAGATGCATGCTGTGGGAGGGAGCAGGGGGTTGCATTTTTGGACTTCTGGAACCACAGGAGTTAGAAAAGAGAGCTCCTTTCCTAGTCCTTGAACTGCAGGGGTTTGCAGCAGGGTAAACACGATCACCTGCATTCTGGGATGATAAAATCTGCCTGAGCAGGTGCTGGAACAGTTTTCAGCTGCAGAGCAAACAGTGGAGCTGAGCATGAAACCAGTCAAATGCTCCTTCCTACAAACCCTTTCAAAGAGGTGCTGCATAGATGACATGCTCCACTTTGAAGCAGAGAAAAATAGATTCTAGGCTAAGGAGGACTGAAGCCCTAGGTGCTGACAGGGGTGGTTTTTACAGCAGCCAGCTGCTGTAGCACAAGTCCCAGCGTGCCACCTTCCATAGCAGTCATTGAGACCCAGGCTGCTTTCACACTGCTGGAACTCCCCTGGGCTTTCCTACCCTGGCAGAAGAGGGGCAGGTTTATCAGGCAGTGCATGACCTGAGTCGCAGACAGGGTTTGCTGTCACCTTTTGCCTCCCCGCAGGAAGCCGGTGTGCAGTGCCCTGTCTGCCGGGAGACCCTGGTCTATGATCTCTCTGCTCTGAAGGCAGCACCGCCTCCACAGCACCCTCTGGTAAGAGATGGGGGCTCACCTGCCCAGCTGTGCAGCTACCACTGGGTAGCTTCAACTGTGACACTGTAACAGATGAATGAATGTGCCCTCTCAGGTCCTCCCAGATGTCCTATCCAAAGGGTAGCTCACAGAGAGCAGGTTCAGTTGTATAGCCCTGAGGTGAGCAGATGTGCTGGAGGAGAGGTGATTCTGCCATGGGGCATGTCCCTGCACTCATTGGGATACAATCAGGTCAGGAGAGTGACCTGATGGTAGCTGCTCTGCATCCCGCCCCACAGCACGACATCCCAAGGCAGTCACTGCAGAAACAGTGGGTTTGCACTGGGATGTTCTGCCTCTGTCCAGGGATTTCCCGTGCATCTGTAGGCCTGGCAATGTGGCAAAGGGAAGCAGGTGCCTGGCACTGTGCAATCAAAGGAGGGTTTAGGGAGTAGCTCCTAGCCCTGCTACTGCCTATCCCTGCCAAGTGTTGAGAGAGCCCTTACCCTGCCTTGCTTTCTGCCACTCAGGAGCCATACAGGCCAGATGCCAAGATGCTGCAGCACCAGGAAGAACTGCGCCTAATTTTCAAGAGACAGCAAGAGAAAGGAGGTATCATCGACCCCGAAGCAGAGAGGAACCGCTATTTCATCAGCCTCCAGGCGGTATGGCACTGGGGGCAGAGAGCTGCCGAGGGCACCCTGGGCTGCAGGACCAAGCGCTGTCGTCTGCTGTGGGACACCCCTGTCCTTTTCTTCACCAGTGGCCTCTTTCTTTCAGCCTCCAGCTGCTGCGGATCCAGGCCAAGCAGCTGTTGCCTCTGAGCTGCCGGTGAGTGCAAGCACTGCAGATGTGTCCCAGCCGCCCGGCCAAGCCTCGACTCCAGAGCCAGCTGGGGCATCGGAGGCCAGGGCAGAACCTGGGCGTCCTGAGAGGCCTGCTGTGCCCAGGGAGCAACCGAGCAAGAGGGAGAAGCACAGAGGGGAGAGGCCAGGCCTCAGAGGCCAGGGCAGGCAGCCATGCAGTGGCTTGCAAGAACCGGGAGAAGAAGCCTGTCATCCACTCCATGGCTCCAGGGGGCCCAGGGGCTTCAGCCAGAGACCAGAGCGGAGACCTGCTGGAAGGCACAATCAGGAGTTTCCAAAGCCTCACAGTAGAAGTAGGGCTGCTCCCTTGGCTGAAAGAAAAGATTTGTGCCCTGAAGATCCCTCACCAGTAATGGAGGCTGTGGACTTGAAAGAGGAGCACTGTGATGTGGACAGATGGAGTGCAGAGAAGGGAGCTGAGACCCGGGGCAAGAAAAAGGAGAACCTGACATTCAACCACAGCGACCACAGAGCAGCTCCCAGCTGGCAGGGTCACCACAGGCCCTGGGATTGTGGGAGGTGGGAAAGGTCCAGAGTTCAGGAGCGTGGTTCCTACCCCAGAGCATCAAGAGGGCGAGGGGCGTTCAGGCCCAGTGGACATCGAGAAGCCCATCTTGAGAAAGAGAGTGGCTCCTAGCAGGAATGATGAGGGGCTGGGCTGGGGGGAAGGAAGGGCTATTTCTGGGGAGAACAGTGAAGGCTCTGGTAGAGCAGTAGCAAGCAGACACCATAACCCTTAAAAGGGAGGAGGCAGATGGCACATGGGACATAGCTAGGCAGTGTCACCAGGGGATGAGCAGAGTGAAGCATCCTGGCGTGAGCAGCTGGCTCTCACCAACATTGGAGAAGCAGAATCTTGACAGATCATATCAGCCTTGATCTCAGAAGACCTAGGGGACAGGTAGCCTTAAATGGGGACCTCCAGCCATCATCCCTATATGTGAGCTGCCAAGAAACGTGCACACCTACAGAGTGAGTGGACTGAGCATGGTGCCATGGCAGAGCCAGAGTTGGGGCAAGATCTTCCCTGGAAGCCAGTGTCCCAGTGGAGCCATGGTGGTGCCAAGTGATGGGGCTGTGCCAGGGCAGCAGCCTGGAGCACAGCTCAGCTTACTCTGTCCTCCTTTCCTTCTCGGAGCACTTTCTCAAGTGTTGTCCCTGTCCCTTGGAGACAACATGGTTCCTCCTGCAGCCCTGGCCGATGTTCAGCTGATGGGCTTGGCCAGGCATGTCGTTTGTATGCAGGACACTTCCCAGTCCCAGACAGGAGATCCAAGTTAAGCTTAAGTCAACACGTTGGCTGCAGCTTCAGCTTGTCTCCCACTTCCCCAGGAAGCCTGTCTCTCAAAGCACTTTGCTTTGTGATGTGTATCCTTAAGAGGATACACATCTTTAGGCCAGGTTGTCTTGGCACTTCCAACAACCTGAAGACATGCCCCAATACTTTAGATACTGCTACCCTTCTTTCATCTTCAAGCTGATCTTATTTCAAAATGAGGATTTGCTGTTTAAACTAACTTGGTGCAGTTCCATCTGCTTCTCCTTCACAAATTTAAATGGTGTCTCACTCCAGAGCTGTGAAGGGCAATCCCAAGTCTCTGAAGTGGGACGCTATTAAATTAATTTATTGGGTCTTCTCCAGAGCCTGCTCCCTTTGTTTTCTCTGCCCACTTGCTCCTGTTCATTGCTATTTGGAGCCAATGTGTTGATCCCTGGTATTTCTCACTCCCCTCCCTGCTCCCTACAACCAGAGCCAGGGCAGAGACCTTCCCCTGGCACTTCTGGGTGGCAAGAGGGCTCCCTGCTTTGCCTGGCTCAGTGTAAGCTCTTCGCCTCACCTGGACAGTACTGATTCCTTCACACTTGTTTGTGCCTTGTCCCCCACCTCACCTCTTTTTTGGCCACACATATGTTGTTTCTGTCTTCCTCCTGCTGAGTGCAAAAATAGCAGTGCCACAATGGACTTGCCAGAACTTCATGTGAGATCCCCAAAGGCTGTGTGTACTGGGAAGGCATTTGGCAGCACACACATCTGCCTGGCTGATCTTTGGCACATGAAGGGTGCACAAACCTCTCTCTGGGCTGGGTCCTCCTTACCTACTGCCCTGCTTACTCTATGCCTGGCCTTGACCTGAAGAGGTTGGTTTAACCTGCTGCCCAAGAACCTTCTGTGCTTAAATTTCCAACACTGCCCTACTTTCAACCCTAATGCTCTAAAAGCATGACTTTCTCCCTCCTTGGTCTGAGCCCACACAACCCATCCTGGGCTTGGTGATCTGAGAGCCAGATGTTGTGCCCTGCTGAGGACAAGGGCTGAGCACTTGCTTCCTGAAGACAGCCCTAATTTTAATTCAGTGCTCTCTCTGTCCTCGTTCAGCTGGTTTCTGGGGGAACGGCCTGCCTGCACTTGGGTGAAAAGGTGAAAACTTTACCTGACATTGGTGCTTGTCTGCTGCCTCCTGCCTTTACTTGTGAAACTGCTGTGCTCCAAGAAAGGCATTTGATTGTGTCCTGAAAGAAACACGGAAGATCTCTGCCCTTCACAGCAGCTGAAGCTTCTTGGCTTCCTCTGGTGAGTGAGGCTTACTCTCAGCAGGAAAGCTGCTGTGCCATGTTTGGAGGAAGGGAATTCAGCCATGGAAATTGGAGTGAGGATTGGTTAACTTCAGTCAAATGCCAGATGTGTTGGAGGGAAGGTTTTTTTTCCTGGGAGTACGGATTTAGGATGGGCCCTCTCTGACTCACTGCTGTCAGCCTGGAGCAGAGGGCATTTTTCAACAGTATGTGGAAATGAGTTTGGGCTAAACAAACCTCTAGGTCAGAGGGGAGGAATGGAGCCTGCACCCTGACCTGGGTCCCCTTGCTTGGTGTCCGCCTGTGTCACCCACCTACCTCACAAGGCTGTTGTGAGGCTTTAACTGGCAAAAGCCCCAGGCTGGGCAGAAAAGCACCGGCAGCGTGTGTAGCATTAACACTATTAAAAGCAAGCAGTGTGGTTTGATGTTGGCTGTGCTCTTGTGTGGTGGCATCGGGCCCTTCAGGCTCCCCTTCACCACCCCACATCTTCCCCAGCAACTGTGAGACATTTGCCAGTCACTCACTGGCCAGTTTTGACCCCCAGCTTTGAGGGAAGAGGGCTGGATTTGGGCACCTAGCCTCTATAAGATGGCCAAACACAGGGTTTGAGATGCCAACAGCAGAATCCTGCTCCAGGAGCCACCCCTCCACTGTACCCACAGGACTAACCTTTCACTTGCAGAAACATTCGTGTAAGTCTGAGTTTGCACCAAAGCAGCGCCTGTTTGCACCAAAATCCATCCAGGTGCTATTGCTTGGGCCCCTTCGTATTTCCATGTGCTCTTGATTATGTCCTTGGCCCCAGAGGATAGAGCCAAGAGGAGGACTGAGCAGTTTGGGTTTGGCCTGGAACCAGCTCCCACAGCCCCGTTTAGGTGATGGAGCCCCCAAAACTGAACACAGGACTGGCTCAGGGGAAACTGATTTACAAGATTCTGAAAAGGGGCTGGGATGGGACAGCTCTTGGGAAGATACTTTCTAACTGACCAAAGCCTCTCATCTGCCCTCACATACCTCCAGGGCCCCACATCTCTGGCAGGAGGGACAGTCATGCCCACCAAGCAATGATATCCAAGCAGATTTGCGGCTTGGCATCACAACTCATCAGGGCAGGAACAGTGGCACCAGCCTGGAGTCTAGGGACAACCAGCTGTCTCTTAGGAACTGCTTTTTTTCTGAAACGCTCTGGATTTGCAGTACTGGCTGTGCCAGGCTCTGGTCAGGAGGGCTCTGAACCAGCAGCTGGATAAGTGGGGCAACTATCACGAAAAGGGACCAGAGAGACAAGAGCCATGTTGTGCATTTCACAGAGGATATTCACAAACCAGTGAGACCGTTGTCCTTTAAAAAACCAGCAGCTTTTAGCAGTGTAGCACCCCAATATCCTGCCCCAAGGAAACCCCCAGGCTGACCCACAAGGAAGAGGATTCACATCCAGGAGCGTTAGCAGCTTACAGAAATCCCAACATGAGGCACACACTGGTGAGCAGGGCTGGTGCAGTAGCACACAAATTTGGGGAGCAGCAAGAGCTGATTCCCTCTCCCTGCTGCAAGGCTGGTAGCTCTGACTCTCCAAAACAAGGCATTGGAGGGGTAAAGGTGAACAGAGACCTGGCCTGTGCATCTGGGCAGCTTCATGGCATCTCTGGGATGGTCACATCTTTGTCCCAGTCCTCTCAGTGTTGCTGGCCCCAGGTCACAGCAGGATAGAGCTTATGTTTGAAATGGCTCCTTCAGGGTCCATCTTGTAGAGCATGAAGTGGCCCTGCACCTGGGCAGCGCTGATCTGTTTGGAGACGGCCAGTGCCTGCTCTGCAAACCGCTCAGCTGCAGCCACGGGCTGCTCAGGATAGAAGCGCTGGAACATGCAGGAAAGCTGCCAGTGGGAGCAATGGCCCACGTACTGCTTGAGATCCACACGGCCAGGACGCACCAGGGCTGGGTCCAGCCTGTCAAGAGACAGAGGAGGGCCTGGAAAACCTGATCAAAGCGTCTCTGCAGGGTGGGTCCTGCAGGAACCCCACGTCCACACTAGCACAGCCCGTGTCCTGTCTGCAAAGTGCTGTGAACTGTGAGATGGTAAAGGGAAGGAGCAGGTTCATCCCTGGGGAGATTGAGGGGAGAAAACAACCCAAAAGAAAAGAGAGAGCAAGGGAAGGGCTGGCTCTGGAGAAGGACAAACAAGTCCTGTGAAACAGTTCTGCCCATCTCTGTCCCATAAGCAACCTCTGAACAACCCCCTAGGACAGCTCGGTCTGTAGTGAGCCAAGCCTGCCATAGCACAGTGGCTGAGCAGGTGCCGCGAGCCCAGGCTGCATCCCACCAACCCAGTGGGCTGCACATGGGGCCAGCGTTTCACTCACAGCATGGCCACAACCCCAAAACCTGCAGCTCCCATGGGCAGGAAGCTGGTACCACTCCTGAATGGAATAACCATATTCTGAACAGCAAGGAAGCATCTGAGGCTCCAGCAAAAGGAATCCTGGTTAGCAATCAAGGGATTTGCATCCGAAAGGAGGATTTGGGAAACCCGAAGGCCCATTCTTCCTGCTGGAGGATTCAAAGAGCCCTACATAAAGCCCAATAAAAGGGAGCAAGGTTGTCCTGTGCCACCCACCCTATTCCTTCCCAGGGGGCAGCTCTGACCTGTCCACATAGTTGGTGGTCATGAAGACAATCCTGGCCTCTGTGGATGCCACGCCGTCCAGCGCGTTGAGGAGGCCGCTGAAGGTCAAGCGCCCCATGCCTTGGTACGCAGCAGGGTCTGGGAACAGCGGAGTCTGAGATCACAGCCATCGGCCACTGACCCTGCGCAGGCTTGCAGGCCACCTTCCTATCACCTAACGCCAAGCTCCCCACTCCCTCCCTGCTCCAAGGCTGACCCTCTGCCTGGCTGGTAGCGCATTCACCTCCCCTGCCCACATGCACCCATGGAAATCCAAACAGAGAACAAGAAGGAAAGCCACCTTCTCCCTCATACTGAAAATAGCTAGGCAGGAGAAGGATCTTTGCCCAAGGATAAAGGACCCAAATTTCTTGTATAGCCTAGGCTATGAAGGTTCTATCTCTAAGGCCCTGAGGCCATAGAAATGCCCACTCCTGGTTTCTGCTGGTGTAGCAGAGCAGCCCAGAGTCCAAACCTTTCCCCAGTACAGCTGGCAAACCTCCCTCCAGCTGCTGGCCCAGAAATGGGGGCAGTGCTCACTCTCAGCGGCCAGGTCCCGGCTGATGAAGGCAGCGTCCACATCCTCCAGCAGGATAATGCTCTGCTGTGGTGCCACACTCAGGAGGTGATTGAGCCGGTCGTCAGAGAGGCTGTGGTCACTAAGGCTCAGCAGGCAGATACTGTACTCCAGCTCCCCGGCCAGGGCTGTGCTGGGAAGGACACAAACCACAGGGGTGAATCACAGTGGGAAAGCACAGAGCCAGCAGCAGGGGAGAGGGCAGAAGTGTCCTTTCCCAGCAGGGATCAGATCTGAGGGGGGTACAGGAACACCTGCTCAGCTTGCTGTGCAGCACTGTGCAAAGCAGGGGCACAAAGGGCTCATAACCCTGACCTGTCACAGTGCCAGCAAAACACCAGGCACCACACATGAGGCACAGCCCACTCCTCTTTCCACACCCAAGCTCATTCACACCTTCTCATCTGAGGCTGCTGTGCCCCAGAGCAGGCAGCTGGTGGGAAAACTGCTGTTAGCCAGCTGGCAACACTCACATGAAGCTGCTTTTCCCACAGCCAGGAGGACCGTACAGCAGGTAACCTCTTCGGTAGGGGATTCCTAGGAAGACAGTGTTCTTTTAGGATAACCAGCTGGATTGCTCTGAGCTCCCTTCCCCCAGAGCCACAAGGCTTTGCTGATTGAGCACACATAATCACGCATAGAGGATACACCAAGGGAAGGCAAGCAGCAGGGAAAAATCTCTCCACAGCTGACTCCAGAGAGAACCACAGGCATTCTGCCCCAGCCCACATGGTACACAGGACACCACACCAGAGCCTTGCCTCTGTCACTGTACCACTTGGAATTGCTGATGAACTCCTTCACGTCCTGAACCAGCCTCTCCGACACGCCCTTCTCCAGCACCACGGAGCTGAGGGGCCGGCGGCGGCGGGGGAAGCCGAACTGCCGCCACTCTGCTCCCACGGCCGTGTACATGAGTGTCTTCCCCTCCTGCTTCTGCAGTGCCAGCTCCCGGGCTGAGGAGAGAGGCAGAAGGGACAGCTGCCAGGGAAGAGGATCTCCCGTGAAGCCCTGGGCATCTCCAGGGAGTAGGCTGTTCCCAGCAGGACCCCACGCAGTTCCCCTACAGACCTTCCTGGAGGATGTTGAAGAAGATGTCCCGGTCAGTGCCCAGCGCAGTGAAGGTGACAGACTCCCAGGGGGTCCCTGTGTTCAGGTCAATCACCTGCGTCTCCCGGCTGCGCTCAATGCGAATCCACTTCCTGCGATACCTGGGGTGGGAAGACAGGGTTGGGATGCAGTGATCCAGCACCACCCAGTTGTGCCCAGCCTGGCTCATCAATCAAGAACATTTATCTCGGGTAAGGAAATCACACTGCTGAGTACAGGCTCCTCTTGCTACTTCCTGCCCTAACCCAGACCCAGGAAGGAGGCAGGATCCTCTCCAGTGCCTCTACAGGTCCCCCAAGCTGCCAAAGTGAGGTTCAATCCCCACACGGGTTTCCCCTGCGCCCCCTTACCAGATGAAATGATTCCCGATGCTGGGGACAAAGTCAAACTTGGTGCTGACACGCCCACTCTCATGCTGCAGGTATGATGTCTCCACACTGAGGTGCTGCGTGTGCTTGGCATGGTGGGACACCCAGTTCAGCAGCCACTGGTAGCTCTTGTCCTTGCTGGGCACCTCCAAGGTGATCATGTAGTGGCGCCTGAAAGCCACCAGCCCAAACTGGGCCCCTTTACGAGCCACTGCCAGGACCGTGCCCACCCCGACAAGGCCAAACCCAGCTCCGAAATATGGGTTGTCCTTCAGGGCTAGGACAAAGTCAGAAAAGGGCATCGTGGGAGGTTAAGCAGCTCCTTTCCACAGCATCGTTTCTGTGCTCCACAAACCAACCTGCGTGGAAAGACTGAGTGGCAGGAAAGAACACAACGGATTGCCTGCATTTCCCTGGCCTTTGTCGTGGCCAGTTCTTCAGGTGAAAGGCTTCCTGGCACATCTGGATCTCCCACATCTGTGCTTATTACCAGGGTTTCAGAATGCTGCTGGCTGCAGGAGCTCCCTCCCTCTCTGCAGGCCACTGGGCCAGCCAGGCAGGAGGGGGCCAGGAGCTGGAGGCTCTCCAGCAAGCACGGGAGCATGTGTTGCTTCTTCAGCCAAGACAAGAAGCTCAGTGTTTTACAGGGTTTTATTCTTTAAACAACCAGAGATCGTGAGCACTGCAATTATTTAAGGTTTATTGTTCGACAAAGCTGAAGCGCATCTCCAGGCCGAGCCGAGAGCCGGGTGGGAACGGGCACACGACTGCGGTGGAAGCAGCACCTCCATGTCTGGATAACACCCGCATGCTCAGGGGGCCTGAAGCTTCTCCAGCTCCCTCAGCAGGTCTGTCAGGTACAGGGGACGAGGGGGAGCCTCCCTCGGCAGACGCACAGACCCGCTCTGCTCCCTCACGCAGCATTCCAGCTCCCCCAGCACAAGGTGTGACCTTCCTCTTTCCCAGGCGTCCCGTGGGCAGGGTCCCCCAGCCCCGCGGCAGGAGCCCCACCGTCCCCTGCAGGAGACCCGGACCCTCACCGACCGTCCTCCGCAGCAGCGGCCCAGCCCGGCCGCTCCACACGGGAACCCCCCGCCACCCGCGGCCACGGTCCCGTCGCCGCCGCTCACCTGCGTTCCTTCTGCCCGCTGCCGCTTCCGCCCGCGCCGCTTCCGCCCGCACCATAGAGCAGGACCGGAGTGCCGGGCAGAGCGGCCGCGCGAGCGGCACAAAGGGCGGCGCTTCCGCCGCCCGGTGCCACAACTGAGATGTGCCGGGGCTGGGGGCCCTGGGGCGGCGAGGACAGCCTGGGGTGAGGGACCGGGGACAGCCCGGGGTGAAGGGATGGGGGGGACCGGGGACAGCCCGGGGTGAAGGGATGTGGGGAGACCGGCTGAGGACAGCCCGGGGTGAAGGGATGTGGGGAGACCGGCTGAGGACAACCCGGGGTGAGCGACTCGGGGCTGGTGGGGCCCGGCCGGACGGGACTCGCAGGAGACACCTGCTCGTTGGAGACCGGACACAGCTCTGGGGGGGTGGTCTCGGGTTCGGGGCTGGGCCCAGCTGGACTCAGGGAGCGAGCCCTGGGTGTTAGGCTCAGGGAGAGGCCCCTAGGCATCTTTGGGGAGGGTACACCTGTCCTTGCACTCCTGTCTGCCGGGGATTGCCCGATTTGTGGCCCACGGGAGGCACAGCAAAAAGGAGCCGGCGTTGAGATCCCCAGTTCATGCCCTGCCTGGGGACTGGCACTGCAGGCTGCCCCCCAAAATCCCATCAGGCCTCTGGGTTGTCTCTGTTTTAAAGCTCTTTCTTCTGTTTCAGAGTGAGAGGCTGTCCTGGCCAGCACCAAGGCAGTGCCCGGGGGCACTGAGTGCAGCAGTGACTGTCTCTGAGAGTGCCAGCAGGGAGATGGAGGCCCTGTGCTCGGAGCTGCTCCTGCCCACAGCAGGAGAGGCAAGAGCTGTGGGAAGCCCTGGTGCGGCCAGCACCGGTCTGGCTGGGACACCCCCGCTGACTGCCAGCCAGGACTTGCTGCTGGCAGAGGCATCAATGCCTGGGGAAGGGGCTCACGCTGAAGGAAGCAATGTAGAAATATTCATCGAGACAGTGGCTGGCAATGTAACGCTGAGCAATGAGGCCAGTACCACAGGTATGGGGTGCAAGGAGGGCAGCATGGGCCCAGTGACACTCAGCAGAGGGAGAGAGGTCTGGCCAGGGCCCCTGTCCCTTCCAGCCAGCACCTTAGGGACAACCAGGTGCCCTCGTGTCTCTGACCTCATGTGCATCACCAGTCTGGTGCCACCATTGAGTGCAGACCTGGCACAAGGTTGGGATTTGGATGGGGAGAGTGGCTGTGGGAATTGTGTGCTGGGTGAGGTGGTCAGTCCAGGCTGTCAGTAGGGACCAGGTGGAGATCTCCTGGGAATGGGGCCAAGCCAGCCTCACATCTCTGCGTGCCTCAAAGGTGCAAAAGGACAGACCTGGTCATCGTGGTCACCAGGGTGATGGTGTTCCCTTTCTTATGGGAGATATCCTGGGCAGGGGGTGGGCTGTGGTTCCCAAAATATAATTTGTGGCAATGGGGGTTTATCCTCCTTGTCCAGAGCTGGAACTGAACCACCAGTCCCACGCTCTGGGCCTGGTGAAAGCCCTTTCTAATGCTCGCCCCTTGCTCTCTGCAGAGGTTCTGGTCAAAGTGGTGGAGTTGTACTTCTGCGAGAGGTGTGGCCAGAGCTTCCCAGAGGCCTCCCTGCTGTCCCAGCACCAGTGCCTGCTGCTGGCCCCTCCTGGGCACCTGGAACTCCCTGGGGCACTGCTGACTTCTGTCAGCGAGGACCAGAGCGAGCCAGGGGACTCAGAGCTGCCTGGAGCTGGCACACAGGAAGGCTCTGCTCCCGAGCGCCTGCTGTGCCCCATCTGCCGGGAGGCGTTCACGCAGCCTGCCCAGCTCAAGGAGCACTTCAAGACCCACCGTGCCCCACCAGGAGCCCTGCCCTGCCCAGAGAGAGGCTGCCACTTCACCACGGAGGACCGCAAGCAACTGCGCAGTCACCTGCGCCACCTGCACGGGGCCTCGCCTGTGTCGTGCACCTGCCGGGCCTGCCCGCTGCTCTTCCCCAGCCGCCCAGCCATGGAGCAGCACCACCGGACACACTTCCCCTTCCACTGTGGCCACTGCGACTTTGTCACAGCCAATGCCAAGCTCTTCTGGCAGCACAAGAAGGGCCACACCACAGAGCCCCCGTCCAAGATGCCCGAAACAGGTGGCCCCTGCAGTTCAGACCCCCACAGCCTTGAGCAGTGCTGCATCCTACCATCAGGTATGGCTGGGTGCGGCCCTGGGGGCTGTGGCTGTTGCAGAGGCTGACTGTGTCCGTGCATCCCAGTTAAAACTGGGAGGAGTTGGGGGGCAAGGTTGGAGGGCTAGGAACCCTGCATTCCTTCCTCCCTGCACAGCACAGTTTGTGCCCCCATCTCAGCCAGGAGGTTTTCCTGTATGGGGGTGGTGGGGACGGAGTGGTCCCTCTTTCCTTCAGCGTGATGATCTCTGTCTTTCCCCACTGAAGCAGCAGCAGAAGAGCAGGAGGAGGCAGGAAATTGTCACCCTGGCTGGGAAGCCAGCACAGCAGAAGCCAGGCCAGCAAACCCTGCAGGTACCGAGGACAACTCCCTGAAGGGGCAGAAAGCATCAGCTGGAGAAGAGGATTCAGACAGCGGTGGGGATGAATCGCAGGAGGAGGATGGCGAGAGCCCCTGTGAAGCCGAGGCCAAAGAGGATGGGAAGGCAGCTCCCGAGAAAGGCAGAATGCCACAGGCACACCACTTCAAAGGTGGAATGCAGGGCCCTACCAGGAGCTGCTCAGGCTTTGTGTTGTGAACAAGCAGCACAGCTTTGGGGCTGGTGTGGAAGTGTGGGCCAGGCTCATGGGGCCTGGGAGTCCTGTGCCATCCAGTAACCCCACATCTCCTGCATGTACCAGTGCACTGTTCCCCTGACCTCTACCCAAGCAAATCTGTCCCTTCTTTTTCCTGTTCACACCCACTGTCAGGTTTAGGCAAAGGTCTGCCTGCATTTGGGGGTCAGGGGCACATGGGCAGGCCTGATATAGTCTGTGCTTTGCCAGCGTTAAGCTGAAAAGAGCTCACCAGGAAGTGTGCTGGTGACTTGAGGTGGTGACAGTCCCTCTAAGTAGGTGGCTGCTGTGCGATCACACGTGTATAAGCCTTAACCCTGGTACAGCTGGATCAGGGACAGAACATTTGTCTGTGCTCTCCATCTTTTTCCTACTGATTGCTCTCCCTTCTCTGCTCCTCCAGGGGATGTTGCAGAGGGCTCCGAGTACCTCTACAAAACCCACATGTGCCCTGAATGTAAGCGGTGCTTCAAGAAGCGGACGCACCTGGTGGAGCACCTCCACCTGCACTTCCCTGACCCCAGCCTGCAGTGCCCCAACTGCCACAAGTACTTCACCAGCAAGAGCAAACTGAAGATCCACATGATGCGGGAGACAGGCGAGAAGGCCCATCGCTGCCCGCTCTGCCACTACAGCTCGGTGGAGAAGAACGCCCTCAACCGCCACATGGCCAGTATGCACGAGGACATCTCCAACTTCTACTCTGATGTTTACTCCTGCCCTGTCTGCGAAAAGAAGTTTCGGCTCAGCCAGGCCCTCAAAGAGCACTTGAAGACTCACAAAGCCGAACCCAAGAGGCTGAGCTGCTTCCAGGGAGGCTGTGACTACTGTGTGGAGGACCGGAAGGAGTTTGTCCGTCACCTCAAGGATGCTCATGGCATCAAGGCAGTGGAATGCAAATACCACGCCTGCTCACTGCTCTTTGGCACAGCTGAGGCCATGGAGGCTCACCGGAAAACCCACTACGCCTTCCACTGCCAGCAGTGCGACTTCATCTGCTCCAACAAGCACGTTTTCCGCAAGCATAAGAAGCAGGGGCACCCAGGCAGTGAGCAGCTCCAGTGCAGCTTCTGCCCCTACGCCACTTTCAACCCCGTGGAGTTTCATGACCACGTGGGCAAGATGCACGCCAACGAGAAGATCCACAAGTGCACCGAGTGTGCCTTCGCCACCGCGCACAAGCGGGTGCTCATCCGGCACATGCTGTTGCACACTGGTGGGTGTCCGCTGCAGGAGTCCCAAGAGCCAAGCTGAGATGGGGGTGGTGTCCTGTCTTGGGTCTGGGTAGGCAGGGAGGGCTGGGTCAGGGTTCCTGGGTCCCACCACTGGCTCTGCCACCCTAGTGTCACTTGACTGAAGTTGTGGCATGTTCCCACCCCTCCTGTCACCCCCAGCTCCTGCTGAGCTTGTTTCCCTGCCATGCTGCTTTATTTGGCTGTCATGCTGAAAGTATTCATGTGTTGCGTGTAGGAGAGAAACCTCACAAGTGTGAGCTCTGCGACTTCACCTGCCGGGATGTGAGCTATCTGTCCAAGCACATGCTGACCCACTCCAACGACAAGAACTTCATGTGCACCGAATGTGGGTACATCACCAAGTGGAAGCACTACCTGAACGTCCACATGCGCAAGCACACCGGAGATCTCCGGTAAGACCCCCTGCTCTACTGCCCTGTCCGCTTAGTCAGGGCTCCCCAAATCCTGCTCCTGTTACCATAAATCGGCAAATAAGAGACCCCGAAGACTCAATTTGTGAGCATTAGGAGGCAAGTATTCCTTTATTACCAGCGCTGGACACACAGGAGGATAGCTCCTCTTAAGTGTGTGTGTGCCCTGCTCTTGTTTAGCATAGCTAATGTTTACTTACAGTTTTACATATTCATCAAGTGTCTTACATATTCACTACTTTTCTCAGAAAGTTCATGCATATGTTAATCAGCTCTAAGTTCTTCGGAAGTCCTCATTTGGTTACTAGGGGGTCTTCTGCTGGTCTCTGGTGGTTATTTGAAGCGTGAACTTCACTTGAACTTGTCCACTGAGCATGCACATTTATAGCTTGTAATAGAGCACCTTTGTTCAGCATCTGTTATCAAAAATTAGATACTTATGTTACAACTACTCTAGCTGAAAGCATTCAGAAACTTGCTTATTTTGCAGCTAC